TATTTTTTTTTACAGTTTCCTTGTCTGCTGCCATTTAATTTGATGGCAAGATGTTATTTACCTCGCCTGGTATACGGGAGCGTGTGGGCTCGATCCCGACCCTGACGCCTGCTGTATATTTGGAGTGTGCGTTTCTCTCTCCCCGTGGTCGCACGGAATTTTCTCCGGGTCCTTCGGGTTTTCACTCTACATTTAGAATAAACACCTGCGATTAGTACGGTTGACGACGTACGGTGTGAAAGAAGTTCAACATACATACAACATGCGTTTGGAGCAGTGGTTCTTAACCTTTACTGGAGCCTTGCACTGCTTCGGTTCTCAATCGTATATTTTTTTATAATAATGTTAATAAATACATACACAGAGGGTTTGATGAAACAAAGTAAGTTGTAACTTAACGTGCCCGTGCTTAACTTGTGCTTCGACAATTTACCTTCAAAGAAATCTGGCCGTGTCTCGCACCCCCAGAAAGGGCATCACGCACCGCCCCCCCCCCCCCCCCCAGTGGATGCGTGCACCCAGGATTCAGAACCACTGCTCAGTGCATTTCGCTGATATATATGTCCAGCCGATAAGCCACTTCTCGTTGAGCTATCATTTGTGGCCAGGTCGCTTCTGAAAAATATCTATATCGCTCAGTGGGCCTTACCTGGTAAAATAAAAAAAAAAATACGATACATTCTATTCAATTCAACCGTACGATGGCAATCTGGTTCAGGAGCTCAATGCCAATGTTGATGTTTGCTGCTGGCCACGACTAGATGGCTTCAGCAGAGAGAGAGAGTTCGTGTCGTTTTGCTGTTCCTCCTCGTCAGTTGAAGGAGCGTAGCAGACATGCAATAATCATCCTAATTCCTGGATAATGTTTCTGTACCTTCACGTAGTGTTTTTCTTTACCAAGAAGGGTTCTTAAAATAAACTTGTCCAAGCCAACTTTCGTTCACACTAAATGCACTGAACTTCAGCATCGATGTATGTTCGGGGTATTTTCCAATCGTTCTGATAAAAACGCATTTGTTCTTCCCCTTTTGCTTAATTGCTGAAACTGAAATGGGTTTTTTTGTTCTTTCAAATTTGGTAACCTAGGCCTACCTCTTGAATTCTCACCTCGTTCCGCAAAATGTTTTTTAAACTTTCATCTCGACAGAGAGAGAGAGCGTTATGAGATTGCAGCGGGTGCATTGAGAAGAGTGGGAGATACGTACCCAGTAAACATGTCAACGTTGGCTCAACGTTGGGCCAACGTTGACTCAATGTTGAGCCAACGTAGAGCCAACGTTGGGTCAACTTTGGGTCAAGTTGGGTCAACGTAGAGCCAACGTTGGGTCAACTTTGGGTCAACGTAGAGCCAATGTTGGGTCAACTTTGGGTCAACGTAGAGCCAACGTTGGGTCAACGTTGGGTCAACGTAGAGTAAATGTTGGGCCAATGTAGGGTCGACGTTGGGTCAACGTTCGCATGTGGTTTAAAAAAAAAACAGTTTTGTAAATTTCGCTGAGGCCAGTAGCTTTCCTTCTTTAAATATTTTAATGTCATCAACTCTGACTTGTCACACGTCATCCTCTTAAGTTATACAGTACACATACACATATATATGGTCAACAGCAGAAAACAAAGATATCCAACGTCCGTATCGTTCTCTGACATATTGTACGCAATATTTAATCGCAAATGCGAGTCCGCGCATACGCAGCAAGGTAATGATTGCAAGGTGGAGAGGGGGTCGGTACATGCGACACAACGGTCAACCGCAGCAGGAATGTACAAGGAATGCTCCAAAACTTAGAGGCGTCCTTCAATGCTGTAGTCTGAACTGGTCATCGCTCACCAACGCCGTGGCAGCGTCTCCAGAGGATCGTCAAGAGGTTACTCGCGAAGCCGTCCGCTCCACTGGCTCGCTCACTCACCAGCCTCGACATGAACTCACGACCACTGCTGATCAACTCCTCCGTCATTCGACAGAGAGAGAGCGCAGTGACAAGAGATTACGTGCAGGGCACCCACCGTGCCACCTCTCATGAAACGGTCTCTGTGGACAGCCCTGAGTCGCCGGTGGAAATTACACATTTCCAAAGCTGGGGGAGGGGGGGGGGCACTGTTGAATTCCCACAAAGTGGTACTCACTTTCGATTTATAGCTTTCGTGACTGCAAGGATTCATCTTCTTTGGTTCTTTCGGTAAAGTCACGTAGAATGAGAATAAAATAATAAATTGATAAAATAAAATAACACAATAATATTCTCACGACGTTTCGGCCGCTTGTGTGTTGTGGCCGAAACGTCGTGAGAATTTTATTGTTATTTTATTTTATTAATTTATTATTTTATTCTCATTCTACGTGACTTTACTGAAAGAACCAAAAAAGATGGTACTCACTTTTTTTGGCCGTGCAGGGATGATGGGCTGTGTCGACCCCCCTCTGGCCTGGGATTTGAACTCGCAACCCTTCCAGCCGGCGAGTCGGCAGCACCGACCCGGCTACCACTCTCAACCGTTTCCGTTTTTCATAATTCCGACGCGGGGATTAGCGGGAAGTCGCTAAAATCTTATCTCCTACAAATGGCTACGTGGCGTTACTACTCGGCTAATACTCGGAAAAAGAAGAAAAAAAATGACATATCACAGGGCATGCGCATCATTAAATATAATACATTACCAGTTACATTTACAGCATGCATTCGCCGGCGATGGAACGCAATGGTGAGTAGTGGTTATGGAAAAGTCGAGCTGCGTGGAGTGCATTGTATTTATAGCTTTTTATACAAGAGACATATACAACATTTAACATCATGACTGCCTCAGTTTGTCGAACGCCTGCTGTTGGTTATATTTGCACTTTATTCAAACGCAACTCAACAATTGTATGTTACCAGGTAAGGCCTACTGAGCTACGTAGCTCTTGTTTCAGAGGCGTCCTGGCCACAAATAATAGCCCAACGATGTGGCTTGTCATCATGTGAATATCTAGAGCAGGCAAATAATCTAAAACACACGTTTCTAAATGGAGTGAAACAAAATCGGAGGACCCATAAAAAAATTCACACGACCTCGGAGAGAGAGAGAGAGAGACATGCACACTACAAATATACAGCAGGCGTCAGTCAGGGTTGGGATTGAACTCATGAACTCCTGCATACCAGGCGAGGGAGATGAACATCTTTGTACCACTGCACATCCAAGCCGTGCCGGCGTGGCTCATCGGGTCAGGAGGCGTTTTTTTTCCACTGCAGGAGCCGAGCTGCACCGCTGACGTGACACCAACGAGTGAGCGGGTCGAGACGCGCGTGCGGGGTCGACGCGGTGTCGCCGCGCGTTCACAGTGTACCAAACCCGTCCCCCTGGCCCTGCTTGGCCCCAAGTTAGATTCAGAATGCCTTGCGCTTTGGTTTTGGCTCGGCACGGCAAAGAGGCATTCGGGGTCGGGGGGGAGGAGGGAAAGAAAAAAACATCCGTACCAAGAGGGGCCCCGCGGCTCTGGCTCGGCTCGGATGTGCCAGTGGAAAAGCGCTATCAGCGGAGACACGCGTGCTGGCCCACGGACCGACCAGCAGCTCTTCCGCACGCAATGGGGAAACTGGACAGCGTTGTACTTCGATGGTTTCTGCGTCAGCACCGCCTGCCACCGTTCGCATCGCGATGTTGGTGCAGCGCAGAGAGCCGACGGCAAAAGCGGCCTGGACGCGAGCTACTCTCGCCTGGTGCTCGCTGAACTCGTTTGTGCCGAATCACGACACTCGCGGCCCACCTGGAGGCGATGATTCACCCTACAGAAGGTGCCAATGATTTGTCGGGGTTGAGCCTCGCGGAGTCTCAGGGGTTAGGCTTTTTTTTCTTTTCCCCAAGAGAGGGTGCTGCTCACGTTGCGATGTTTGGCCATGCGTTCCACGCGCTAACGTGGCGGTTGGGGGGCTCTTCGCGCGGAACGAAGCCGGAGAACTCGGAGAAAACCCAGCACTCGCGCTACAGACTCTACCTGGTCACACCTCGCGGCAGCCCCGGACCTACAACACCTGGCAAGCCTCTGGTGCTCGCCCTTCCACCTACTTGTGCACCCCATCAGGCTCAAGGCCTCTGTGATGAGACGGGGGGGGGGGGGGGGTGGGGTGCATTTGAAGTGGGGGAGGAGAGGGGCATGGTTCATGGGGAAGCCTCCCATTGATTTCCTAGCCCCATGGGGTCCGTGCCATCCAAGTTACACCACCGCTTCAAATCAAGATTACACCACCACTGTTTGGGAGGTTAGGCAACAACACTAAATAACTGACGTTGCATTTAAGTTAAAAGCGCTTTAACGGGGGGGTTTCTATAAACAAACTCTCATCTTCATACCCTGGCTGGCAATGTGCTAACGTTTGCTGAATTTCCACGCAATCTGGGAGGAAGATTTTAGCAGCGCGTCCCAAGTGGTGGTGGTGGTGCAGCGTTTCTGCCGCTAACGACTCTGCCATCTGTTTTCAATTTGCGCCGATGAGTCCCGCTTCAGCGGAATGTCCCTAAATTGAAACCAATTGGCGGCAACCATCATTACGATAGGCACAGACTCTGAGCAATTATCACTCTCCAATTATCATCGCTGGGCAGTTCTCGTTTCGAGCCATCGTCAATCCTTGAAGCCGTTGCTAGGAATTCCACATGCCTATGGGCGGGACCAGATTTTAATAAAAAAAAATTCGGAGTACTGGACAATTCATATTCTTAGTTTTTTCGGTAAAGTCACGTTGAAGAGAAACAACAAAATAACAAAATATATATAAAACTAAGAATATGAATTACTGCAGTCACGAAAGCTTTAAATCAAAATTTACTGGACAAATGGTGAAAATTCATCAAATGGCACTCATTTTACCGACCCTGTTGGAATGATGATGATGACGACTATGACACCATGACGACGATGATGACGATAATGACAGTGATGATGATGACGACGATGATGATGACGACGATGATGACAGTGATGATGATGACGATGATGACAGTGTTGATGACGACGATGATGACAGTGATGATAATGATGACGATGATGACAGTGTTGATGACGACGATGATGACAGTGATGATGACGATAATGACAGTGATGATGATGACAGTGATGATGATGACGACGACGATGATGATGACGAGGCTCAATTAACTCTTGCCAGGAGTTAAACTCACGACCTCGTCAATCGCGGGGGCGGTGCTTTACCGAGCGAGGCGTCCATCCCCGTTACACTATTTGAAACGGGGACAGCCAGGGAGGACTAAACCGACGGGGGGGGGGGAGGCGAGAGTCCTTAGCCGCTCCTCGCCACGTGACGAGGACGCGTGTCAGAAACGTGCGCGGCAGTCGTTCCTGAATGTGCCAAACGAAGTGAATGGTGCTGGCGGTGGCGGTGGATGTGGCTCGGCGGCGATCCTGAGTCCGTCCCTCGCGTTGTGGCGATCCTCGGTAGGGGGCTGCCGTGTTCTGTTTGTGGAATAATCTGGTCCTTGTGGAGTCGACGGAAATTCCATCAGCCGCGGGCTTTAGCCTGGAAGGGAAACAATGAAAACCAATCAAGTGAATTCACGTTCACGAAATTCTCATCGCGCAAGTCTACCGCGAAGGTGTTAGGATTCACATATATAGCCTGCAGACGGTGCCCACGTATGGTTCATGCACCCACAGCACGATCCAGGGCGGCGGTCGAAGGCCGAACCGCGAACCTCTGCAACGAGCCACAACGCGTGCGTCACCGCCACGCCACCGAACGCAATTTAATTTGCTCACTTTCGCCTTCCGTTGTTCATAATTAGGTTCGAAAATGGAATTTAAAAATGTAAAATGCCTCGTCACGCGTCGTCAATCTAGCGTCATGGCAAGAGAGTCTAATTTAACCTTGATATTGAAATCCAAAAAACTCCGTCTCTTCGTGTCGAGCAGAGTCAAAGCCAATTTCACTGGTGAACAGCGACGTCTGAATAAATATCCAATCGCGCATCCCACCACGGCGCCTGTAGCATCACAGTGGGGTAACGTCGATCCCAATCTGCCCCATTGCATCGCACACACGCAGCATGAAATTTGGACAAAAGTTGATCCCACTTTGCCCGGGTTGCATTCAACACCTCCGGCATGAAAGCTGGGCAAAGTTGATCCCACTCTGCCCCATTGCATCGCACACACGCAGCATGGAATCTGGACAAAAGTTGATCCCACTTTGCCCGGGTTGCATTCAACACCTCCGGCATAAAAGCTGGGCAAAGTTGATCCCACTCTGCCCCATTGCATCGCACACACGCAGCATGAAATCTGGACAAAAGTTGACCCCATTCTGCCCGGGTTGCATTCAACACCTCCGGCATGAAAGCTGGGCGAAGTTGATCCCACTCTGCCCCATTGCATCGCACACACGCAGCATAAAATCTGGACAAAAGTTGACCCCACTCTGCCCGGGTTGCATTCAACACCTCCGGCATGAAAGCTGGGCAAAGTTGATCCCACTCTGCCCCATTGCATCGCACACCCGTGGCATCACGGCCGGCCAAAGTAACAGCGCTGGACGCCCTCTAGGGGTCGGCGGACCCAATGTTTTGAGGCCACGCGATCCCACCGCGAAATTTTGTCCGCACGTCGCGTGGTGCCTTCGCAGTGGCGACCGCGCCGCACCGCGAAGCCGGCAAAAACCCCGAGTTCGATCCCCCGCCACGGCGACCCGAAAGGACGAAGGTCAAACGCTCCGTCGAGTCAAAATGCCTTTGTTGTCGTTGATCGCTCGCGCGGATGAGACGATCCGCGTCTCTCGAGTTCTCCCTCCCCTTGGTTAAACTGAATGAACTTGGAACTTAAAACGTGATCATCTCCGTGGCATTTACGTGCGATCGGTGTCCCATTAACCCTTCGGCAGCGCCTCTCGCCTTCCCGCTACGGCAGCCAGGCTGGAAACACAATGACCCAAAAACGTACGGGTTCCTGCAGGAGGAAGGAGATAAGCGGAACGCATCCACACCTCCAGCGATGCTGTGACAGCAGGCTGGAAAGGATTGCATTTTACAGCCTCATCATTTCACAATTCGCTGTCAGAGGGCATGCACGAGGGGGTAAATCCGCCGATTCTGTCGGGCCGTGTTTTTTTTTACGATACCTTGCTCCCGGGAGTAAAAATTATATTGGGCAAATGGGTTGCATTGCAGCCACTGCCGGTTCTGCTGTGATTTGGAGCCCTCGGTGACATCAGGACTCACTGCCCTCTCTTATCCTCACAGCCCTCCACTGCCTCTTTGCTACACGGGGGGGGGGGGGGAAGACTGCAGGCAAATGACTGTGAGCGCTTATCACTGGCAGCACGTATACCGTGATCAGGCACGACAACTCAGTACGGTGTTGGTGGAGGGCGATGGGAGTTTTTGTTTGCCTGACCAATGCGTTTGGTCTATGAAGTGTGCAAACCTAGGCTCGTCACGTGACCTACGCCTGCGATCTAATCGGAAGTTATCCAAAACAAAGGTTGTTTTGGGCTGGATCACGTAAATATAAATGTGTTGTTAAACCCACCACCACCTGACACAGGCAATTGGTAAGGTTTGTCACGTAAACAAAACGCGGCAATTAGTTACTAATTCAGCACACCGGTGTGTTGCAGAGTAAGCCCCACATTTCCAATCTGAGTATGACGTTTCGCCGGTGATTATAACCAGCTTCATCAGGCGATAGCCAGATTTGTGGAGAATTACTCCTGTGTTTTGGTCGTAAATAGATGGGGTAAAGGTGATGTTATCGGTGTGGGCCTATGACGTGTTACTCGACGTATGATGACCTGCATAGGTATGCCATTGAGTAGTGTATTACTTGATTATAGGCTTCCAAGCAGCACTTAGCCTGCAGCTATCAGAATGGTGAAAGTTATTTTTCGTTTCTCTCAATTTCAATAGATTCTCTAATTAATCTTGGCTAGTCGTAACTAGTTTTACACAAAATCTCAACATTACCAAAATCAATTGAGTGTCCTTGTTGGCACGCGTGTTCTGCTATGGCTCAGTCGTGTTTGGGAGTATTTAATATTTCTTTGGTGTTCTTACTGATCATTCGTCCCGTCTGACCAACATAGCATTTGCCACAGCAGAAATTAACCCGGGGCACCTTCTGTTGATAGCTTCGGCAATTAATCTTCAGCACCATATACTTGTTTTAGTTTTTTTTATGTACCATGCCAAATCTCTCTCGGATGTTTCGCGTTATTTTTAAAGACATTGCACTCACCGCAGATAACTGTAGCGACACAACTGCACTCTACGATAGCTGGCGCCAAACTGTGCACACACGCCCTCCCTCTCCTGCATGGCCTTGCGGGAGCCTCGGTACCCGTGAAGCTGTTTCATTTTTATATACAGTAAAACCTTGGGTTGAGAGTAACTTGGTCTGCGAGTGTTTTGCAAGACGAGCAACATTTTTTTTAACAAATATTAATTTATACTCTTTGGTTTTTTTTTCGGTAAAGTCACGTAGGTAAAATAAAATTGAAATAAAATAAAACAACTAAATAAAATCACGACGTTTCGGAGGCAACACAAGCTTCCGTCTTCAGGTGGAACAGTCGCGGCTATCTTGCTGTGACTGTTCCAAATCAAATCACGACGTTTCGGAGGCAACACAAGCTTCCGTCTTCAGGTGGAACAGTCGCAGCTATCTTGCTGTGACTGTTCCAAATCAAATCACGACGTTTCGGAGGCAACACAAGCTTCCGTCTTCAGGTGTGTTGCCTCCAAAACGTCGTGATTTGATTTAGTTGTTTTCTTCTATTTTAATTTCATTTTACCGACGTGACTTTACCGAAAAAAACCAAGGAGTATGAATCCTTGCAGTCACGAAAGCTTCAAATCTAGAAGTATTAATTTGATAAACGAGCGAGGGTCTTGCAATACGAGCAGTGCGTACGCGCTTTGTCTGCCGAGCGTCACGTGATCACAACTGATATAAGAGTGCTTTGATATACGAGTGCTTTGGATTACAAACACGTTTCCGGAACGAATTATGCTGCGCAATCCAAGGTTTTACTGGAATTCCTCCGGTTCCGTTCCGACGTCGTGCATCATCAGCACGGGAAAGGGCAAAGCCTCTGCCCTTGCTTACCGTCCCGTGACCCTGCCAGGGCTCCGTACCGACCCTCGCACCACACCCACCTATTGGCTTGCCCGAGTTGTTGAGGCTCGTGACGTCGGTCTGCTCGGTGGAATGAGACGTGCCGCTGCAGTGCGACAGCCGCTGCTTCTGCTTTCGCGTCAGCAGCTGTGTGGACCTGTTCCCCGAGGAGTAGCCCATTTTTCCATCAGCTGAGCAGACGGACGGATGGAGGGAGGGAGGGGTGGGGGGATGGAGGAGTGTTGGGTGGGGGGGGGGCAAAAAAGAATCGTGTAAACTTTAGCTGAAAGCCTCGGATTTCTGATTAAAATCGTTTCGTAAATCGTCATCACGAAAACTCCGGTCAGCCTCGCCGCGGCAGCAGCAGCGGCTTTTGGCTAACCGTCGAACAAAGACGGTCACCGCATCGCGCGCTTTCAGATGCGCTTCTGCGGCCGTCTGGAACGCTCTTCCTTCCGATCATAGGAAGCCACCCAGAGCAATGATTTTTTTTTTTAATCTAAATTGGAAACTCATTTCTTTAGAAGTGCTATTCGTGTCAAGTTTATTGTCCTTCCCCCGCACCTTCGATGAGCGCGGTTTGGATAAGCACAGTAGCGGAAGAAGAAGTTGACCACTCATGCATAACGCATCTCGTCTCTCGTGTTGTGAACCACAGTGTGTGCCAAAGGGCAAATTGCCTCAAGCCGATGTTCCAAAAGCACCGCTCCGCCAACGTGGCAGTCACTCACACGCGCTGATTAATCGCGGGGGACGTGCTGGCGACAGGAGCGCGTGCCTGCCCGGGAGCAACGCCAAAAGCTGCGGCGGGCCTCGGCGCACAGTGGAGTGGGCATCGCTCGGTGAATTGGCCATGCACGGTGCAAAAGAAGTTCGGCATGCGTTGCAAGCAACACCAGGGTCAACTTGTGTCCGTGGCCCTTAAGCACCTGTGCGTGGCTGACAGGAGGCTGAAATCGTCAAATCGCGCGGCGGCCATACGCGAGGGGCTTATTCATTTATTTATTGGACCAGTTTAAGGCCCACTGAGCTATATTGCTTCCTTTTTCGGAAGCGACCTGGCCACGAATGATAGCTCAACGAAGTGATAGTAACAGCCAAATACCGAGAACGCACGTTGTTTCTAAATGTGGACGGAAAAACCGGAGGACCCGGAGAAAAATCCACGCGGCTGCAGGGAGAACACGCAAATTCCATATTTACAGCAGGCGTCAGTGCCGGGATCGAACCCACGACCTCCTGCATGCCATGCGAGGAAGTTAACATCTCGCCACCGCGGCTTGGCGTGGGACGCACAGGGCGCGCGCACTTACAGTATTTCCCGCAGCAGAAGAACTTCTTCCACTGGTAGCGGACGTTCTCCCGGAGCGCACAGTGGAAGAGGAAGATCATGAACCCTGGCGGGGTGGGGGGGGCACAAAAACCAAAGGGGCACGGAACGTCAACGGCGCCATTCGGGCACTCGCTCCTCGCTCGCTCCCCACTCCCTCCCCACTCGTCGCTCGCTCCCCGCTCCCTCCCCACTCCTTCCCCGCTCCCTCCCCGCTCCCTCCCCGCTCCTCGCTCGCTCTCTCCCTGCTCCTCGCTCGCTCCCTCCCCGCTCCCTCCCCGCTCCCTCCCCACTCCCTCCCCGCTCCCTCCCCGCTCCCTCCCCGCTCCTCGCTCGCTCCCTCCCCGCTCCCTCCCCGCTCCATCCCCGCTCCCTCCCCGCTCCCTCCCCGCTCCTCGCTCGCTCCCTCCCCACTCCCTCCCCACTCCCTCCCCGCTCCCTCCCCGCTCCCTCCCCGCTCCTCACTCGCTCTCTCCCTGCTCCTCGCTCGCTCCCTCCCCGCTCCCTCCCCGCTCCCTCCCCACTCCCTCCCCGCTCCCTCCAGGCTCCCTCCCCGCTCCCTCCCCGCTCCCTCCCCGCTCCTCGCTCGCTCCCTCCCTGCTCCTCGCTCGCTCCCTCCCCGCTCCCTCCCCGCTCCCTCCCCGCTCCTCGCTCGCTCCCTCCCTATTCCTCGCTTGCTCCCTCCCCGCTCCCTCCCCGCTCCCTCCCTGCTCCTCGCTCGCTCCCTCCCTCCCCGCTCCCTCCCCGCTCCCTCCCCGCTCCCTCTCCGCTCCCTCCCCGCTCCCTCCCCGCTCCTCGCTCGCTCCCTCCCCGCTCCCTCCCCGCTCCTCGCACGCTCCCTCCCCGCTCCCTCCCTGCTCACTCCCAGCTCGGACCGGTTCAGATAATCATCACCGGTGACGGCCGTGAACGGGAATCGAACTCGGATGGCCGGGGTTCGTAGCGCAGCGCGCTACCCGCCACGCCACCGCTCCCCATGCACGCGCGCGCACGCTCCACCGCCGCCCGCCAACCCCGACCGACCTTGCAGCGTGTTGAAGATGATGAAGAGGTAGATGAAGGCGAGCTTCTGGGGGCCGAAGCCGAGGAAGGCGAAGGCCCAGGTGATGCCGAGCAGGAAGGTGAGGCTCACGCTGCCGCGGAGCTCGCGGGCCACGCTCGAGTGCTTCTCCTTGCCGTGCTTGCGCTTCTGCTGGCAGATCTGGCGCAGCACCACTACGAACATGCTCAAGTTGAGGCAGAAGACGAGGCAGAAGTAGCCGGCCACCGCCACGTAGAACACCACGTCCAGCCGGATCCAGCAGCTGCGGGGGGTGGGGGAGGGGGATGCGACGGGAGACCAGGGTAAGGTTCATAATGCGGCCTAGCCAGCAGCACGCCTGCATCACAGGGAATGTGCAGTGTAGCTACTGGTGCCCGTGATCCCGAACCCTGGTTCTCTGGGTACTTACAAGTCGTCTCTCTCTCGATAGTTGGTGGAATTTTTTTGTCCTTTCCCGTAAAAGTCTCTGTTTATAGCCAGCAGAACCGCAACGACAATGGCTGGGACACCTGCGAGGAGAAGACGCAAACACACGGGGACACAACAAAAAAGACAATGATCCCCCGTATAGCCTGTAACAGACTGCTGGGGCAAGTGCTGTGAGCGAGCGCCTATGAAGGCCGGCAGAGCACACGAGGGGGTGAGCGGCCAGCACCACGCCCGGCCGCCTTTGTCTCCCCAGTGGCGATGTTTACACATCGCACCAGGTACTCATTTGAGGCTGAGTCGACCTAGGGGAGGCCCAGGAGCGGTTCAATTATTCATCACTGGTGTTGGCCGTGAGCGGGAATTGATCTCGGGTCGCCGGTTTCGTGGCACAGAGCACTAACGACTACACTACCGCTCCCCAGCAACACACAGAGGCACAACGACAGAGACACACACAGACACATGCACAGAAACACGAAGACAGATACACAGAGGCAACCACAGACACTTTCCCCATCCCGCTGCCAGTCACCCCATCCCACTACCACTCGCCACCACTCACCCCATCCCTCCACCACTCACCCCATCCCTCCACCACCCACCCCATCCCAGCGCCACTCAACCCATCACCGCGGCCAACTCACCCCAGCCGACGATGCAGAACTTGAGGATGTAGTTGCGCACGTAGGTGTTGAAGACCTTGACGACGGCCAGGTAGAGGTGGGCCGCCTCGAGGCCCATCCAGGTGAAGGAGGCGAGCAGCGAGTAGTGCAGCAGGGCGCCGGTGGCGAGGCACAGACCGTAGATGTTGAACCACGCGATCCACGCGTCCAGCATGAACAGCAGGTTCAGCAGCAGCAGCGCCGCGCACAGGTTCATCAGGATCTTGGACGGGTGATCCGTGCGGATTTTCCTGCAAGGGAGGGCGGTTCAGCAGATCGGCATCGCAGTCGTCACAGCCGCAGCCTCGTTGTGTTCACTCCACGCCTCTCCCCCGAGCCATCTGTGATTGCTGCTATAATAATTATTAGTAGTGATGAAGCAAAGAATAGGCTTTACACCAAATAGACACCGATCTCACGGTGACAAGTCTGAGTTAACCACACATGCCGCTTGTGATAAATCATTGCAAACAAACACGAGTTGATAATAATGTACGGATTATCCTTGGGACTGAGTGGCCTGCACCAGAGACGAACATTCTATGGCTTGTCTTTGGCCAGAGGAAGACTAGGACTACAATAATAACAACAATAACGGCTGACTCGATCTGCCCTGCTTATATGAACACTCGGCTGGGGGGGGGGTGGGGGGGGATGGGGACTCACTCGAATGTGATGTAGGTGACAAGGGTGATGCCGAGGAAGATGACCGAGAGGCCGGAGCCGATGTAGGTGATGAAGCTGAGGGACTGCTCGATCACTTCCGAGTACTTTGGGCCCGGAGAGAAATCCTGGTCGGGCAGAAAGAAACAAGACGACACGGCGACGCACGCGACAAGCGGTATCAGAATCTTTATTTGGGCTGCCGGAGGAATCCCGTGCAAGTGATGGTGCTCGTTTCTCACAGATGTCCAATTAGGAGCGGGTCAGCGGGTTGCAACGACAAGAATCCGTAGCGTCAGAAGGAAATGCCTTTTGAGTTGTTAGTGTATTAGTGGAACAATCTTTTTTTATTCTGAAGCTTCCTCCATACTTCAAAGCGCTATGCAAAAAAAAATCTGAATCAGAAATTTATTTCTCCGGTAAAGCCCATTGAGTTGTGAAGCTCTTTTTCGATAAAATCCAAACGAAATTCAGTGAAAAGTCAAAATAATAATGCCGCGTTTGGCAGAAGGGCCGCCACTAAGGCGAGCTCGAGGACAGCCCCTCGAGACGATGCTTCGGCCCGCCTCTTTCACGCCGGAAGAGGTGGGAGTACCCGCGGAACGTCGGACATCGTGCCGAACAACACGCAGAATCGATTGGGAAAAAACCCCACGTTGGAGAGGTGCGCAGCAGCACCGCCACCGCGGAGAGATCCTGCGCAGTGGTAAATTATTCGTCATCATCATCATCATCATCGTCGTCGTCATCGTTGCGATTACGGTTGTCGTGGTCACGGTCGTCGTGGTCACGATCGGCATTGCTGCGGTAACGCTCGTCATCATCACGGTCATCGTCGTCATGGTCGTCGTCATCGCCCACCGCGGGTCCTCACGGCGACGGTCGTCGTCGTCGTCGTCGTGGTCACAGTTGCCGTGGTCACTGTCACCGTGGTCACTGTCACCACACGACCGCTGCGGCCACAGTAAGGAGGCTGTCCGCGCGCGCCGGCCTCACCAGCAGCAGAGCGAAGTGCGTCAGGTGGTTGCACTGGCACAGGGTCACGTTGTGGTCGGAGCCGCCGGGCACGGCGATGCACCCTTTGCTGTTCCAGTCTGGCCAGGGGCAACACCGCAGGGCATTCGAGTGGCATGTCGAGTTGATGAAAAAAAAAACAACAGGCTTGACCCTTTTTCCGGTAATAAAACAGGCGGTGTGAAGATGTTCGAACACCGTTCCCTGCACCCCTTCAATCCGTCGTATCCCTTCACTCAAGTCCATCGGCGTGAAGTACAGCAATGAAAACACACGCATATATAAAACGTGTTCGAACACCAAATAGACACCTAGTGCAAGGCATCATCAAGTCTGCGTTAGCCACGCATCATGTTTGTGGAAAGACATGCAAACAAACGTGCTTTGATAATAATCAGAAGGTTGATTTATACTGGAGGAATCCGATGAGCTATGAAGCTCTCGTTTCACAGATGTGTGCATTTGTCTTCGAAAGCGATAGGCCTACAACTTCACGGCCTTGCCTCGCCACCGGCGGCTAGGCCGGAGAACGCACGCCGGAAAGGTGAACGGCACAAAGGCGTCGCTTCACGTCGCGGCGCGAAGCTTCTCACGTCGTGAACATCGTCTCCCCAGGTGAATATCGGATTCACGTCGGAGCCAGGAGCGGGGGAGAATTCGGACTTCGCAACAAGCCCTTGAAAGCAAGGGAGAGAGAGAGAGAAAAGGGGTGTCACATAAGCTATATTCACCTTTCTTGACGAAGTCCCAGTACACGCACTTGACGTTCTGCAACGCAACACAGAGGGGGTGAATCGCAACAGAGCAACGCTTGGCACGGCAACACCGCCTGGGGTCACTGAAGTGAGGGGTGCACGTGGGTGAGGACGGGAGACGGTGGGGTGGGGGTGCCGGGGGGAAGGGGGTATTCCCCCCGGCACCTCCAACTCCCTGTACATCATAGACACGTGGTTTCCCAACATAGACACGTGGTTTCACAACATAGACCAGTGGTTTCCCAACATAGACACGTGGTTTCCCAACATAGACACGTGGTTTCCCAACATAGACCAATGGTTTCCCAACGTAGACACGTGGTTTCCCAACATAGACACGTGGTTTCCCAACATAGACACGTGGTTTCCCAACATAGACCAGTGGTTTCCCATCATAGACCAGTGGTTTCCCAACATAGACACGCGGTTTACAAACATAGACCAGTGGTTGCCCAACCTGGCTTTGAAGTATTCAAGTTTCGGGTTGGGATATCATTCAGTCCATTATCTCTCCACGGTCGATAAGAAACGACTACTGTGTAATCATCGGCAAAACGTTGTGGGTTTACTCTCCAACACACCGGTGTGCTGAAGTACCACACCCGTCAACCCATTATCAGTGCCCTACCTGATTACAGACCAATTCAGACCTTATTGGTCACCCCGTGCCCTACAAATCTCAACGTTCATCCTACAAAGTCCCATCACAAGGGAGAAACACAAACAAATAGACACACTATCTTTTAACCGTATTTAAACGGCTGTACGGACCTGAACACTCAATTTCCCTGTACAAATATACAGGGTAAACCGGATGGGTTGACAGGTGTGAAGTACTAACTAATTGTCACGTTTTGTTTACGTGACAAACCTCACTTATTGGCCGTGTCGGGTGGCGGCGGGTTTAACGACACAATATTTATATTTACGCAATTTAATCCAAACTCCCCCCCCCCCCCCCACTTTATTATGGCTAATATTGGTCGCAAAAGCCTACCACGTGTTAAACCATGGACCAGTTTTGGAGCAAGTCAGCAGTGATTGTCCTCTGGTAGAGACTCAGCCCAGCCACGGCAGTGTCCAAGTTCCGCCACTGGCTCTTGCGGGGCTGTACAGCTGGAGGCGGGACGAGCACCCGAGCCTCGACTGCTCAATCGGAGCTGCCGGAAGGAAATAAACACGGCGCCTCCGTCCCCTGGTGGAGAGTCGCGGCACAGCTCTTGAGGTGAACCAAAACCAGTGCCACGTGGTACTTTTACTTTCAACAATCTCGATTGAGAACGTCATTTCTTGAGGGCCGAACCTTGTGTTTAGTCTGTGCGTAAGTCGATTTGTTCATAAGTCCAACTTCACTCCTGTCGATTCCAAACACGCTGTACGGCGTGTACAATAAACACGGGGAATGGCTTTAAAAGTTGTTAAATCTCCTGTAGATGTAGATGCCACTGGTTCTTCACGTTCTGAAGATGCCACCACCACCATCTATCGCGCAGCAGTTGAACTTACGACTCTCGGTCTGAACAGGCAACTGGACATACGGACCAGGTTTGTTCGTATTTCTGAAAGTTCCCAAGTCGAATGTTCGCAAGTAGAGGAGTCCTTGCACATACATACACAATCCACTGCACCAACGAATCCAGAAGCCAAGGAGGTCGCTTCTTCTCCTATGCTGCCCGCGCAAAGACTGAAACTTCCCTGCGCCCGGCCATGCACTTGCAGGGGGTTCATTCGGCCCCCCGTTGTTGCCCCGGAGCCCATGGGAGGTTAGAGGTAAGGAACAGGACCCACCTTTATCATCCCCTCCACGGGATCCAGGGCGCTTTGGTTGGTGTGCCACAGCGAGATGTTGACCGGGTCCTTGAGGTTCGTGATGTTCGCCAGTTTTCCCACGCTCGCCGCCACCACGTAGCTCGACAGCTGTGCGAATACAATGCAACATCGAACGTCGTCGTCATCACCGCCGTCGCCACCACCATCATCATCATCGTCGTCAACAGCACCACTGCTGTCGTCATCATCGTCACAATAACCATGCCTCGTTGCATGCCTAAGCAGCAGTCATTCTCTATGCGCTGCCGGAGTGAAGGTGCGCTGCGCGTGGGAGCGCCGCTTGCATTGGCCTGCGGGAAGAGTTTGGTGTTGTTGTAGACGGTGAACTGGGCCCGTGTCGCCATCGCCTTCTGAGCCGGGTCGAGCGAGTCCAGCAGGGAGGCCGGCAGCGACACCGATGTCTCCCCATCCTGCACCAGGGGACAACCATCATGCATCATCATCATCATCATTGTCACCATCGTCACTGCCATCATCATTGTCACCATCGTCACTGCCATAATCACTGTCACCATCATCACTGCCGCCATCATCATTGTCACCGTCGTCACTGCCATCATCATGGGCGTCACGGTGGCGAGATGTTATATCGAGTATTTGGCTGCTATAAATATCCACATGATAAGCCACTTCTGTCAGCTATCATTTGTGGCCAGGTCGCTTCTGATAAAAGAGCTATGTAGCTCAGTGGGCCTTACCTGGTCACAAAAAAAAAATACTTTTAGTTTATCGTTTAGTTTATCTTGCCTGACCTTTGGCTCTCGGAATGACGCGCACGGCTCACCTTGAACTCCTGCGGCTGCGAGCTGTCGCTCTCGTTCATCTTGGACACGAAGAGCAACAGGTTCTTCGTCGGGAGCGAGATGCTGGAGCTGGGGAAGTCGATCTTCTGCAGCAGGGTGTCCACCATGTGCAGTGCCCTGCAAACGGAGCGAGCGACTTTCGTTACCAAAACAACGCACCGCCGTGCGGTACGGCGGAGCTCCACAAAAGCCTTTCGTCGACGGCACGTTGGGGGCGACTCTCCCACGCCGACGAGGTGCCTTGGAAGTCGTGGGATACCGCCCGCACCTCAGCCCCACCGCACGCGAGCTGCCGATCACCGACCGACCGGCCGGCCGGCCGATCGACCGACCGGCCGGCCGGCCGCGGTGAACCCATTTACACCGCTGGGTGGACCACGAAAGGCGATTTGAGAAACTTGCACGTCGAATAAACTGCTGGGCCCCTGACCCCCTCGCCCCCCCCCCCCCCCCGATAAGATGCATCGATTCAAACTATACACTATATATTGTTTGTAATTAATGTAGGGGCCCTATTTAAAAAGCTTAAATTTTCAGTACCAGCCCCCCTCACCCACTCCATCCCCCACCTAACCCCAAGCCACTGCCCTCCCACCGCGCCCGGCCACTGTTTCTGCATCGTCCAATCGAGAATCTTCTTCTTGATGATGTAGACCCAGAGACGGCAACTAAACAAGTTGACATTCACGATGATGTAGACCCAGAAACGGCAGCTAAACAAGTTGACATTCTTGATGATGTAGACCCAGAGACGGCAACTAAACAAGTTTACATTCTTGATGATGTAGACCCAGAGACGGCAGCTAAACAAGTTGACATTTTTGATGATGTAGACCCAGAGACGGCAACTAAACAAGTTGACATTCTTGATGATGTAGACCCAGAGACGGCAGCTAAACAAGTTGACATTCACGTGGTCAAGCCCAGGTGGCGGCGCCAGGAGCAGCCAGCAGAGCGGCGTATTGTCGCCGCGTTGCCTCCTTCGTGAGTGGTGAATCGGGGCGTTGCGTCGCTACACGTTGCGACTACGGGCTTGCTCTGGGTGACCGCAGTCGCCCCCTTCCGGGATAGTGCCGCACGCACTCACTCACTCACACACTCACGCACTCACGCACGCACTCACGCACGCACTCACTCACGCACGCACACACGCACTCACGCACGCACACACACACGCACTCACGCACATACTCACGCACTCACGCACATACTCACGCACACACGTACTCACGCACTCACTCATGCACACACGTACTCACGCACTCACTCACGCACACACGTACTCACGCACTCACTCACGCACACACGTACTCACGCACTCACGCACTCTCACGCACTCACGCACACACGCACTCTCACGCACTCACGCACACACTCACACACGCACTCACACACTCACGCACACACTCACTCACTCACGCACGCACGCACTCACACACGCACGCACTCACGTACAAAGACAAAGATCCCCCGTATAGCCTTAACAGACTGTAGGGGCAAGTGCTGTTAGCGAGCACCTACGCACTCACGCACTCACTCACGCACGCAACTCACAAATGCACGCGCGAGCGAACGCACTCACTCACACACTCACTCACTCACACACTCACGCACGCACTCACGCACTCACGCACACACTCACACACGCACTCACGTACAAAGACAAAGATCCCCCGTATAGCCTTAACAGACTGTAGGGGCAAGTGCTGTTAGCGAGCACCTACGCACTCACGCACTCACTCACGCACGCAACTCACAAATGCACGCGCGAGCGAACGCACTCACTCACACACTCACTCACTCACACACTCACGCACGCACTCACTCACGCACTCACACTCACTCACACACTCACACACGCACTCACTCACTCACACACTCACGCACGCCCTCACGAATGCACGCGCGAGCGAACGCCGCTCACTTCTCGGACGAGTTGGCCAGCGAGCTGGACGGCGCTTCCAGGATGCTGCTGAAGCGAGTGGCCACCATCTGGGCGCCCTTCACGGAGATGGTGGGGCTCTGCTCCAGCAGTGCCAGCAGGCCGTCCATCTCCTTGCTCACCTCCTCCGCCGACTTGCTGTCCATGTTCTCCAGCACTACGCGGGGCCACGCGGTGGTGGTCGCGGTGTTAGTGGTGGTGGTAGTGGTGGTGGTAGTAGGTGCGGTGGTGGTGGTAGTAGTGGTGGTGGTGATGGTCGTGGTGGTACCGGCGGTTGTGGTGGTGACGGTCGTGATGGTGGCAGTAGTGACGGTGGTGGCAGTGGTGGTAGTGGCGGTGATGACGGTGGTAGTGGTGGTGGCGGTCATGGTGTTTATGGTGGTGGTGGTGGCGGTAGTGGCAGTGGTAGTGATGGTGGTGGTAGTGGTGGTGGTCGTGATAGCGGTCGTGGTGGCAGTAGTGACGGTGGTGGCAGTGGGGGTAGTGGTGGTGGAAATGGTGGTGGTGGGGATGGTAGTGGTGGTCGTGATGGTGGTTGTGGTGGTGATGACGGTGGTGGTAGTGATGATGGTGATGACGGTGGTGGTGGTGGTGATGATGGCGGTGGTGGTAGTGATGATGGTGGTCATGGTGGTCGTGGTGGCGGTAGTGGCGGCGTTGTTTTCAGTTTGTGTGTCGGTTTCATCATCGTCAGATCCATCAGATGCAATTGTATTAGCAGCAGAAGATTCAGCCGAAGCTTATCATGATCAGCAAAACTGCAGCAGCATCCTTGGCAGCAATAGTAGCATCAAAGGCATCATCATTATCAGCAGCATCTTTAGCGATAGTAATAGCAATTTCGTCATCTTCAATATCATCATCAGAAATCGTACTACCATTATAATTGTTATCATCACCATCCCCATCATTTTAAGCAGCAGAAACAGTATTAGTACTATTATCATCATCAGCAGCAGCAGTACAGTAGCAGCAGCAGCATGGCGATCTCTTTCTTCCTCGTGAAAATAAAGCAGCATCATTACGACACCTCCAACACAATGATCACAATCATCATCAGCAGCATCACCACCACCTCCATTATAATGATCACCACAATCATCGTCAGCAGCATCACCACCAACTCCACCATCAATATCATCACCGCAACCATCATGATCATCAGCAGTGAGTGGTTTGTGAGCGCTGAGTCGAGGCTCACGTGGAACGTCACAGACATCGGCGTCGATCGGCTGCCACGAGGAGGAGTAATTGTTCCCTTTCGTGCTGCCAGGGGCGACAAACCACGCGCACATTATTCACTTAACACGGTACGCGGTTACATTCACATGCCTGGTGTGTCCTCGTTTAACATTCACACGCCTGGCGTGTCCTCGTTTAACATTCACACGCCTGGCGTGTCCTCGTATAACATTCACACGCCTGGCGTGTCCTCGTTTAACATTCACACGCCTTACAAGTCCTCGTTTAACATTCACACGCCTGGCGTGTCCTCGTTTAACATTCACACGCCTGGCGTGTCCTCGTTTAACATTCACACACCTGGAAAGTCCTCGTTTAACATTCACATACCTGGCGTGTCCTCGTTTAACATTCACATACCTGGCGTGTCCTCGTTTAACATTGACATACCTGGCGTGTCCTCGTTTAACATTCACACGCCTGGCATGTCCTCGTTTAACATTGACATACCTGGCGTGTCCTCGTTTAACATTCACACACCTGGCAAGTCCTCGTTTAACATTCACATACCTGGCGTGTCCTCGTTTAACATTCACACAACTGGCGTGTCCTCGTTTAACATTCACACGCCTGGCGTGTCCTCGTTTAACATTCACACGCCTGGCGTGTCCTCGTTTAACATTCACACGCCTGGCAAGTCCTCGTTTAACATTCACACGCCTGGCGTGTCCTCGTTTAACATTCACACGCCTGGCAAGTCCTCGTTTAACATTCACACGCCTGGCGTGTCCTCGTTTAACATTCACACGCCTGGCCAGTCCTCGTTTAACATTCACATACCTGGCGTGTCCTCGTTTAACATTCACACGCCTGGCAAGTCCTCGTTTAACATTCACTCGCCTGGCAAGTCCTCGTTTAACATTCTCACACCTGGCGTGTCCTCGTTTAACATTCCCACGCCTGGCGAGTCGTCAACCGCTCAGAAACCGCATTTTAACGGTGCAAGTTCCGCGTTATAACGGCATGAGTTACGCGTTATGCAACAAGTGTTCGCTCATGGAAGAACGGCGTTACAGCGGAAACTCGTTACGGCGTGAACAACCGCGTGGTAAGCGAGGAGTTTCACCCTAGAACCGAATCGTCACACGCTTCACGGAGTTGGAGGGGGTTTGTCACGTTAACAAAACACGTTGACCTGACAAACTTCACTAATTGGCTGTGTCGGGTTGGTGGCGGGTTTCACATTTACACGCTCCAACCACCCCCCCCCCCCCCAAAAAAAAAAAGCCTCCATCATGGATATTGGTCGCGAAAGCCTGCGTGGTAAACCGACGATGACGACGATGACGACGTTTACCATGAACTCGCGTGCACAGGGTAAAGCGCGACCTCACCACTGTCGCGAGACGTTCTTGTCCTTGTTGATGGGGCACGCGATGACGGCGGTGTCACCGACGGTCACCGTGGGCCAGCAGAACTCCCCCTTGATGTTGACCAGAGTCTCGCCGAGGCAGTACACTGCGGGGAGACGTGCAGGGCGACGCGTCAGGGCGACGTGTCAGGGTGACGTGCAGGGCGACGTGCAGGGTGACGTGTCAGGGTGACGTGCAGGGTGACGTGCAGGGTGACGTGCAGGGTGACGCGTCAGGGCGGGGGAGGGGGGCAGAGAGCGGGAAAAACACCGCCCCCCATTGGGGGGCAGCGCCGACAATGTCGAGCGCCACTCCGCTGTTGTAACACTGTTGTAAAACTGTTGTGACAGTTGTAACACTGTTGTAACAGTTGTAACGCTGTTGTAACGCTGTTGTAACGCTGTTGTAACATTATTGTAACAGTTGTAACACTGTTGTAACACTGTTGTAACGCTGTTGTAAAACTGTTGTGACACTGTTGTAACAGTTGTAACGCTGTTGTAACAGTTGTAACACTGTTGTAACAGTTGTAACGCTGTTGTAACGTTGTTGTAACAGTTGTAACGCTGTTGTAGCACTGTTGTAACACAGTTGTAATGCTGTTGTAATGCTGTTGTAACAGTTGTAATGCTGTTGTAACAGTTGTAACGCTGTTGTAATGCTGTTGTAACACTATTGTAACAGTTGTAACACTGTTGTAACACTGATTTAACAGTTGTAACACTGTTGTAACGCTGTTGTAATGCTGATGTAACACTGTTGTAATGCTGTTGTAACAGTTGTAACGCTGTTGTAACGCTGTTGTAACACAGTTGTAACAATGTTGTAACGCTGTTGTAACACAGTTGTAACGCTGTTGTAACGCTGTTGTAATGCTGTTGTAACAGTTGTAACGCTTTTGTAACGCTGTTGTAACACAGTTGTAAGGCTGTTGTAACGCTGTTGTTACACTGTTGTAACGTTGTTGTAAGAGTTGTAACGCTGTTGTAACGCTGTTGTAACAGTTGTAACGCTGTTGTAACATTGTTGTAACGTTGTTGTAACACTGTTGTAACAGTTGTAACACTTTTGTAACGCTGTTGTAACGCTGATGTAACACTGTTGTAATGCTGTTGTAACACTGTTGTAACGCTGTTGTAACACAGTTGTAACGCTGTTGTAACGCTGTTGTAATGCTGTTGTAACAGTTGTAACGCTGTTGTAACGCTGTTGTTACACTGTTGTAACGCTGTTGTAACAGTTGTAACGCTGTTCTAACAGTTGTAACGCTGTTGTAACAGTTGTAACGCTGTTGTAACAGTTGTAACGCCGTTGTAACGCTGTTGTAACGTTGTTGTAACAGTGTTAACGCTGTTGTAGCACTGTTGTAACACTGTTGTAATGCTGTTGTAACAGTTGTAACGCTGTTGTAACGCTGTTGTTACACCCATTGTAACGCTGTTGTAACAGTTGTAACGCTGTTGTAACAGTTGTAACACTGTTGTAACAGTTGTAATGCTGTTGTAACGCTGTTGTAACGTTGTTGTAACAATTGTAACGCAGTTGTAGCACTGTTATAACACTGTTGTAACAGTTGTAACGCTGTTGTAACAGTTGTAACGCTGTTGTAACAGTTGTAACGCTGTTGTAACAGTTGTAACGCCGTTGTAACGCTGTTGTAACGTTGTTGTAACAGTGTTAACGCTGTTGTAGCACTGTTGTAACACTGTTGTAATGCTGTTGTAACAGTTGTAACGCTGTTGTAACGCTGTTGTTACACCCATTGTAACGCTGTTGTAACAGTTGTAACACAGATGTAACAGTTGTAACGCTGTTGCAACACTGTTGCAACACTGTTGTAACACAGTTGTAACACTGTTGTAACACTGTTGCAACAGCTGTAACACTGTTGTAACAGTTGTAACACTCTTGTAACAGTTGTAACACTGTTGTAGCACTGTTGTAACGCTGTTGTAACGCTGTTGTAACGCTGTTGTAACAGTTGTAACGCTGTTGTAACAGTTGTAACACAGATGTAACAGTTGTAACACTGTTGTAACGCTGTTGTAACAGTTGTAACATTGTTATAACGCTGTTGTAACGATGTTGTAACAGTTGTAACGCTGTTGTAACAGTTGTAACACAGATGTAACAGTTGTAACACTGTTGTAACGCTGTTGTAACAGTTGTAACACTGTTGTAACACAGTTGTAACACTGTTGTAACGCTGTTGTAACGCTGTTGTAACAGTTGTAACGCTGTTGTAACAGCTGTAACACTGTTGTAACGCTGTTGTAACGCTGTTGTAACTGTTGTAACAGTTGTAACGCTGTTGTAACAGTTGTAACGCTGTTGTAACAGTTGTAACACTGTTGTAACACAGTTGTAACGCTGTTGTAACGCTGTTGTAACGCTGTTGTAACAGTTGTAACGCTGTTGTAACAGTTGTAACACTGTTGTAACGCTGTTGTAACGCTGTTGTAACTGTTGTAACAGTTGTAACGCTCTTGTAACGCTGTTGTAACGCTGTTGTAACGCAGTTGTAACAGTTGTAAAGCTGTTGTAACAGTTGTAACACAGATGTAACAGTTGTAACGCTGTTGTAACGCTGTTGTGACAGTTGTAACACTGTTGTAACGCTGTTGTAACGCTGTTGTAAAACTGTTGTGACACTGTTGTAACAGTTGTAACGCTGTTGTAACAGTTGTAACACTGATGTAACAGTTGTAACACTGTTGTAACAGTTGTAACGCTGTTGTAACGTTGTTGTAACAGTTGTAACGCTGTTGTAGCACTGTTGTAACACTGTTGTAATGCTGTTGTAACGCTGTTGTAACAGTTGTAATGCTGTTGTAACAGTTGTAACGCTGTTGTAACGCTGTTGTAACACTATTGTAACAGTTGTAACACTGTTGTAACACTGATGTAACAGTTGTAACACTGTTGTAATGCTGTTGTAACAGTTGTAACGCTGTTGTAACACAGTTGTAACACTGTTGTAACGCTGTTGTAACGCTGTTGTAATGCTGTTGTAACAGTTGTAACGCTTTTGTAACGCTGTTGTAACACAGTTGTAAGGCTATTGTAACGCTGTTGTTACACTGTTGTAACGTTGTTGTAAGAGTTGTAACGCTGTTGTAACGCTGTTGTAACAGTTGTAACGCTGTTGTAACATTGTTGTAACGTTGTTGTAACACTGTTGTAACAGTTGTAACACTTTTGTAACGCTGTTGTAACGCTGATGTAACACTGTTGTAATGCTGTTGTAACACTGTTGTAACGCTGTTGTAACACAGTTGTAACGCTGTTGTAACGCTGTTGTAATGCTGTTGTAACAGTTGTAACGCTGTTGTAACGCTGTTGTTACACTGTTGTAACGCTGTTGTAACAGTTGTAACGCTGTTGTAACAGTTGTAACGCTGTTGTAACAGTTGTAACGCCGTTGTAACGCTGTTGTAACGTTGTTGTAACAGTTGTAACGCTGTTGTAGCACTGTTGTAACACTGTTGTAATGCTGGTGTAACAGTTGTAACGCTGTTGTAACGCCGTTGTTACACTATTGTAACGCTGTTGTAACAGTTGTAACGCTGTTGTAACAGTTGTAACACTGTTGTAACAGTTGTAATGCTGTTGTAACGCTGTTGTAACGTTGTTGTAACAGTTGTAACGCTGTTGTAGCACTGTTATAACACTGTTGTAACAGTTGTAACGCTGTTGTAACAGTTGTAACGCTGTTGTAACAGTTGTAACGCTGTTGTAACAGTTGTAACGCTGTTGTAACAGTTGTAACACAGATGTAACAGTTGTAACGCTGTTGCAACACTGTTGCAACACTGTTGTAACACAGTTGTAACACTGTTGTAACACTGTTGCAACAGTTGTAACACTGTTGTAACAGTTGTAACACTCTTGTAACAGTTGTAACACTGTTATAGCACTGTTGTAACGCTGTTGTAACGCTGTTGTAACGCTGTTGTAACAGTTGTAACACAGATGTAACAGTTGTAACACTGTTGTAACGCTGTTGTAACAGTTGTAACACTGTTGTAACGCTGTTGTAACGCTGTTGTAACAGTTGTAACGCTGTTGTAACAGTTGTAACACTGTTGTAACGCTGTTGTAACGCTGTTGTAACTGTTGTAACAGTTGTAACGCTCTTGTAACGCTGTTGTAACGCTGTTGTAACGCAGTTGTAACAGTTGTAACGCTGTTGTAACAGTTGTAACACAGATGTAACAGTTGTAACGCTGTTGTAACGCTGTTGTAACGCTGTTGTGACAGTTGTAACACTGTTGTAACGCTGTTGTAACGCTGTTGTAACTGTTGTAACAGTTGTAACGCTGTTGTAACACGCCGTCTTGTTGAGGGACTGCTGCTGCTGCTGCTGAGCTCTCTTGCTGTGGTCGCTTTGCTGTGGTCGCTTTGCTGCCTTGCCAAATCCTGATAAATCGGAGTGATATTCGAAGCAGTTGATGAATGACGCTGGCTGGTGCCTTGCTTGCTGGCTATCGCTGTGCGTGTTTTGCGTCGTTTGTTGGTTGTAACTTGCTGACCCCGTGCCCTTACTGGACACCTGTGAAAAGAGCTTCACGGCTCATCGGATTCCTCCTCCAGTCTAAAGGGACGCCATGGTTGCTATCTGTTAACTACCTCGCCTGGTGTACAGGAGGACGTGGGTTCGATCCCGACCCCGACTCCTGTACATTTGGAATTTGCGTGCGGTCCCCGTGCTTGCGTGGATCTTCCCCCGGGTTCTCCGGTTTTGCCTTCCAAATTTAGTAACGACGTGCGCATCAGAGTATTTGGCCGCTATACATTTCCACGTGACGATGACGACGATGATGATGACGACAATCCACTTCGTTGAGCTATCATTTACGTCGCTTCTGAAAAAAACCGAGCACTATAGCTCAGTGGGGCTCTAGGGTTCAAATCGAGGATTCTGACGGTGATTCCCTTCCCCCCTTGCGGTGCTGCGCAAGGCGACGCATCACCCCGTGAACTGCGCGCGGCGGAGGTCGCCGACGCATCTGCGCTCGCGTCTGTCCAGCCCCAGCAGTATGAACGGGTTCACCACGGTTAGTCGAGCGCCAGGTCAAGACAAAGATCGCCCCGTCCACTCCCGCGTAGCCTGTGACAGACTGCTGGGGCAAGTGCTGTTGGCGAGCACCTATGAAGGCCGGCACGGCACACCAGGGGGTGGACGGTCAGCGCCACGCCCGGCCGCCTTTGTCTCCCCAGTGGCGGTGCTTACACACCGCACCGGGTACTCGTTTGAAGCTGAGTCGACCTAGGGCAGGCACAGGACCGGAACCCGTTGGAGGTAATCGTCGCTGGTGATGGCCGTGAGAGGGCATCGAACGGGGCTCGCCAGGTTCGTAGCGCGGTGTGCTTACTGCTACACTACCGCTCCAACCCCTTAGGTCACGCGACTTCTAAACCCGCTGGGCTGTTGAGTTCGCCACCTCCTGGCTTGCCAGCGTGCGGCGGAATTCAAAGCCAGAGTGGGTTCATTCCCATCTGTGTTACATGTGTGGAAGGGGTATTTGAGGGTTTCCCCGCTTTGCGCGCGTGCGTTTTGTCCGGGTGCCTCCGGTTTTCTTCCCGCGTGTCCAAACGCTCATGGACCGAATTGACCAAAACATCCTCATGTGGGGCCACAGGCCGCTTGGGCAAATTGTCGGTGCCAATTCCGGGTGCCCTCGCCGCTCGTCCACGATCGCTCCAGGGCCTCAAACTGAGCGCCCGTTACAAATTTGCGCTCCGATCTATTCGGTCTACTTTTGTCGCGATTTGATAACACACCTGAACTAATCTACACAACTAAAACTACCTTTTACTTTACCAGACAAGGCCCACTGAGCTGTCTGGCTCTTTTTATTCAGAAGAGACCTGGCCACAAATGATCATTAAAAGAAGTGGCTTATCATGTGGATATTTAGAGCAGCCAAATACTCTAAACGCGTGGTGATGTTGATTCTAAAAGTGGAGGGGAAAAAAACCGGAGGACCCGGAGAAAAATCCACTTAACCACAGGGAGAGAGACACAAACTCCAAATAAACAGCAGCAGGCGTCAGGGTCGGGATCAAACCCACGACCTCCTGCATACCAGGCGAGGTCGTTAACATTTCCTAGCCACCGTGGTGATGATGATGAGAGAGAGACACACAAACTCCAAATATACAGCAGCAGGCGTCAGGGTCGGGATCCAACTCACAACCTCCTGTAGTCCAGGCGAGGTCGTCAACATCTCCTAGCCACATGTGAACACGATGAGCGGTGCGATGCGGTCGGCTTACTCGCGTTCCCCACGGAAGGAACGTCCAGCTGGATCGTGCCGACTCCGAGCGACTGCTCCAGCCGGGGCTTGAGGTTGACGATGGTGGAGCTGAGCTGGCTGCGGATTTCGCTGGAGATGTTGACAATGGCTGCGATGTCGTCGACATTGCCCGCCCTCCGCATCTCCAGCACCATGCTCACCGTGAAGCTGGGAGCCGCCGTGTGGGGCAAGAGGCGAGACAGGAGATGAGAATGAGGCGCATGCATCTCGTCGCGCGTGCATCCAGGGCCAGAATCATGACGCTGCTGTGGTCCTAAAGCCGTGACAAGCTTAACAGGCCTCAATCGAGGAATGCCTGTGTATTTCTGTCAATTGCAAAATATTCATTTGATGCTGAGTCGACCTAGGGGAGGCCCAGGAACATTTCAAATAATCTTCACTGGTGTTGGCCCCTGAGCGGGAATCAAACTCGGGTCGCCAGGTTTGTGTTGGAGATGGAATAATAATAACTTACATTTATAAAGCGCCCTTACACAATCGTTCTCAGGGCACTCTGCATAAAAAGGCGGACATGGTTTAACATCAACCAAGGAAGGAAGAAGTGATAGGTTTTCGACTTTTTTCTGGCAACAAATAGGTGTTAAGATTTTGATGTAAAGCTTTCGTGACTGCAGTAATTCATATTCTTAGCTCTTTCGGTAAAGTCACGTTGAAGGGAAACAATAAAATAATAAAATATATAAAACAATAAAAATTCTCACGACGTTTCGACCAAAACGCAAACGGTCATCATCAGTGAGGTTGATGACCGTTTCTTGCCGTTGGTTTTTCACACCTGATGATGACCGTTTGCGTTATGGTCGAAACGTCGTGAGAATTTTTATTGTTTTATATATATATTTGATTATTTTATTGTTTCCCTTCAACGTGACTTTACCGAAAGAGCTAAGAATATAGGTGTTAAGATGTTAAAACACCAAACTGAAACCTTTTACAAGGAATCATGCCTGCATTAACCACAATACTTGTGGTCAGAATGCAAACAAAAAACATACTCTGATAATATATGCATTGTCAGTTTGGCGTTTAAACATCTTAACACTTGTTTTGTTGCCAGAAAAAAGGGGAAAAACCTATTTTCATATTTTGGTACTGGCAAAGGAGGTCCCATGATGAAGAGAGAGAGAGAGAGACAGAAAGCCACTGTAACCAGATCCGCTTTTAGCCGAGACGTAAAGATTTGTAAAGTGTCTCGGAAGTGTCCTGACCTCGATGGGATAACGAGTTCCAGAGTTCAGCTGCCGCAATCGAAACAGGCGCCGTCACCACCCCCCAAGTGTGAAGCTGGAGACCGTGGCGACAGTGAGCAATGCACAGTCTGAGGACCTTAATGATCTTGATGGAATATGCGTGGCTGAATTGGGTCATGAATATAGGGAGCAGTAAGGCCATTTAAGGCCTTGAATACCAGCAAGAGAATCTGAAGGTCAGTATGGGTACGGACAGGGAGCCAGTGAAGGGACAGGAGCATATATGTGATGTGATCCTTAAAGGTTTGTGTACCAGTTAACACCCTGGCAGAAGCATTTTGAACATAATCCAGCCTGTTTAGGAGCAGAATCTGGAGGTGATATAGAACCGGTGCCCTCTGGCAATGGAATTGGGAGATGGGATTGAACTGGTGCCCTCTGGCAATTAAATAGGGAGGTGGGATTGAACCAGTGCCCTCTGGCAATGGAATTGGGAGGTGAAATTGAACCAGTGCCCTCTGGCAATGGAATTGGGAGGTGAAATTGAACCAGTGCCCTCTGGCAATGGAATTGGGAGGTGAAATTGAACCGGTTTCCGCCCTCTGGATTGCGAGTGCAGCGGCGCGTCCCCGACTGTTGCACGACCACCACCACCGCGGGCGGCGGTGAGATTCTGGGCGAGCGTGCTTATGAACGATTCCACGGTGTCGCTCGTGGCCACGATTTATCTGTTTGCGTGCGTCCCCCCCACCCCGCCACCGCCGGCTTACTTCCACAGCTCGCCCATCTACGGAGAGAGACAGAGAGAGAGAGAAACACACGCGGGCAGCAGCCGTCAACGATGACCGATTGCGTCCGCGATTCGCCCGTTCCAAAACGGACGCGCCCACAGACCCGCTGCGGCCTGGTGGGGCAGAGCGAGTAGGCTCCCGAGCTGCCAGTTGCATGTTTTCAATTTCCTCTTGGAGGGATTTACTCGACCCCATCATCTCTTGTTGTTCCTCTCGGGGGGGGGGGTCCATAAAATAAGTACCACATTGTTGGGGGAAGTCAAAAGTGGTTTTCCGATTGGATAAACTTCCCCCTCCCTGCCCGCCATGAGAATGTGGAATTTCTGCCACTGGCCGAGGCTTGTAAATGGGAGATGGGCACTGCTCTCAGTGCTGAGTCGAGCAGGAAATATTACTTTTAAGTTTATTTTGAGAAACCTTGAATATTAACGGCATTTGATCACCCACGATTAGCAGGGTTGGCTACGTAACGGTGAGAAAGTAAAAAAAAACACGCATACATCAACAGCCAAGGTACAGTGTCATGCATATCCATGACTGTGTATGTCCAGGCGAGATTATGTGATCATGATTATCGTCAGCCATGCTCAGATGCACATTAGAGACGTCATAGGGACGTGTCAGAAATGAACCGTGTGCTATTATATATATTTTTTTACTTTTAAGAGCATGGCATTATTGACGAGGAACATGTCGAGTTTTGTTATGTTTTGTCGTTGTTTGTGCTTGCACACCACTACGAATGCAGCAGCAGCAGCAGCATCAACAACAACATAACTGCCGGATATCTGCGGCGAAAAAAAAAAGAGCGTCATAGCGCATGGGATCCCTCCTCCGGTATAAACGGAGATTCTGACGAGCCTCTAACTCTCCAACGGTCGAAAAACTTACCGAACGGCGCACTCGCACTCTCCCTTGTCTCGTCACGCTGAAAATAAGGCGAACATTTCGCTCGAATTAGAGGGCGGTCGCATCGCGCGAGGGCGCGCCAGCCGTCCGCAAACCGATCTCCCGCGCCCACGGGGCTCAGCGAACCGAGAAGTCCAAACCGTCGAGCACATCGCCGCTGAATGCTCCATCCACGCAGATGCGTGGCGGTGTCGCCGGTACCCGCGCCGCGCCAGCCACCTCACTGGACTGGGACGAGGACCGCTTTCGCATTCACTCGTGACGATCGGTAAAGAAAAAAAGTAAAAACGTCCGCCTTTCACAATGGCATGCGAAACAAGAAGACAGATGGCGATGGCGGGCTGAGCACGGAGGAATGGGCCGCCGCCGCGGCTTGGAGAGACGAGCGCCCGGTGGTCTTGATCTCGTCTCCGTGCGTCGCCGCGCTGTCGTTCCCAATGAATGAGGCCCCCAGCTGCGGTCCAGCCAAGGGCTGCGCCCAGTGGCGGCTGTCCCAGCGCCGGCCTGCGAGCGGGGCGTCGCCTCTGCCGCTAAGCGGGCGACGTTTTGCTTCGTGGCTTGTCCCAAACGAAGCAATTTGTGCGTGCGTGTGCGTGTTTGTTTAGATGCGTCAAATATTCGGACATTCTCGACTCCCTTCGTCGATTAACTTCGCGGTTAAGACAGTCGCAATAGTGGACAGTTTTGGGGTGGGGGGGTGGGGTGGGGGGCGGCCGGGGTGGCTCACACAGCGAACCTCTGCAACGAATCACCTCCGGTTAGCACGGTAAGGCTACGTATGGTGCGAAAGAAGTTCAACGTACAGACGTACAAAGCGCCGAACTTGCCCCGCACGCCGCTCGCCCCGCGTGTGAGCCCCCCCCCGCACCCCGCGGTGCCGAGCCGTTTGGAGCCGAACGAGACGGAGGATGACAATCTCCGAGTGGGAACAACGATGACGGGGTGACGATGGCGAGACAAAAAAAACGGAAACGAATTTCCCCCCCCCACCCACCCCTCCTCCCTTCCCCTAGGCATCATCCTCATCGCTCGTCGGGTCAAACCAGGTAACAGGTGCGCCTTCACGCGCAAAGGCAAAGATCCCCCGTATAGCCTTCAGCACGGCCGCCGGGGCGAGTGCTGCTAGCGAGTCGCACCTGTGAAGGCCGGCAACGGCACACGAGGGCGGTGGGTGGCCAAGCACCACGCCCGGCCGCCTTTGTCTTCCCCCCAAGTGGCGACGTTTACACGCCGCACCAGGTGCTCATTTGAGTCGCGATCTAGGGGAGGCCCAGGACCGTTTCAGATAATCGTCATTGGGTGTTGGCCGTGAGCGGGAACCAAAATCTGGTCGCTGGGTTCGTAGCGGAGCGCGCTGACCGCTGCAATGCCGCTTAAGCCTTCACTCACGCACGCACGCACGCACCCACGCACACACACGCATACGCACGCACGCACACACGCACACACGCGCATACACACGCACGCACACACACGCATACGCATGCACGGGCAGCCACACACACATGCGTGCGAACAGAAGCCCGCACGCGAGGACGCACCCTGCAGCTCCCATTGTCAGGTGACGTGGGGCGTGACTGCACATTTCGTTTCTCATCGCTGGAATCTGACACCGTCTTAAGGTGACTCAGAGATCACCGGGACTGCGCCCGGCCTGGCGCAAGCGCCGTGGTCATGCAGAACAGAGCCCGGAGTGCAGAACAGAGTCCGGAGTGCAGAACAGAGCCCGGAGTGCAGAACAGAGAACAGAGTGCAGAACAGAGTCCGGAGTGCAGGACAGAGCCCGGAGTGCAGAACAGAGAACGGAGTGCAACGTACAGCGACGCAACGTCCGATCGGCGAACACGAAGGAGACGTCACGGCGGTGATACAACTCCGCTGGCTCGCGGCGCGGATATCTGTGCTTGACCGCCTGAATGTGAAATTGAAAGTCCGTTGTCTCTGCATCTACATCAACAGCCGTACGAAAGAAGATGAAGAAGAAGTGGCACGCACCTGATGTACTTCAAGTCCACGGTGTAGTTGAGTGTACTATTCAGGTCATTTATCACCTAGAAAACCAAATCACAAACTCATTAAAAAAAACACACACAATCTAAAAGCATTTCTCGTTTTGATACAAGCTGACAATCCTAATCCATTGAGTGAGCCTCTGCCCTTGCCAGGCGATTTGAGTGCACACATGCATTTATATAGACGTGCATAGAGACTTAACACAGAACATCATACCAGCGAATGTCAAAAGAGAGAGAGAAAGAGAGAAACGAGATCGTAGAGTCCAGCAAAATATAACGGCATGAATATGAAACAATAAACATAATTCTGGTCGTTAATTCAACAAATGATATTGCTGAGTACAAGCTAGCAACACAGGGCACCGGTTATCTAAGTCGTAAAAGAAAAAGAGTTAAACGCGTTTCTTTAACCAAGCGAGATAATTATTAATATAGCTTGGGGGACGAGGACGGAGTAGAGATTATGGGGAGGGAATTCCACAGTGGAGAAGTGAGAAGGAAGATGCAGAAAAAGAAGCAATGTGACCTGTGGTGAGTGAGTGGGTGAGGGTGAGTGAGTGGGTGAGTGAGTGGGTGAGTGAGTAAGTGAGTGGGTGAGTGAGTGGGTGAGTGAGTGAGTGGGTGAGTGGGTGAGTGAGTGGGTGAGTGAGTGGGTGAGTGAGTGGGTGTGTGAGTGGGTGGTTGAGTGGGTGAGTGAGTGAGTGGGTGCGTGAGTGAGTTAGTGAGTGAGTGGGTGGGTGAGTGGGTGAGTGAGTGGGTGAGTGAGTTAGTGAGTGGGTGAGTGAGTGGGTGAGTGAGTGAGTTAGTGAGTGGGTGAGTGAGTGAGTGGGTGAGTGAGTGAGTGGGTGAGTGAGTGAGTGAGCGAGTTAGTGAGTGAGTGGGTGTGTGAGTGAGCGAGTTAGTGAGTGGGTGTGTGAGTGAGCGAGTTAGTGAGTGAGTGGGTGTGTGAGTGAGCGAGTTAGTGAGTGAGTGGGTGAGTGAGTGAGTGGGTGAGTGAGTGGGTGAGTGAGTGGGTGAGTGGGTGAGTGAGTGGGTGAGTGAGTGGGTGAGTGGGTGGGTGGGTGAGTGGGTGAGTGAGTGGGTTAGTATTTTACTGTGACCTGCAGTGTGGTGGTGGTTGAACCCCATGTTGTGGAAGAGACAAACCAGTCAGTGTCTGGTAGAGACACGGCTGGAGGAATCAACCCGTGAAGTTCACGGGAACGGTAACCATGGTAGCAGTGGTAGGGAACGGTAACCATGGTAGCAGTGATAGGGAATGGTAACCATGGTAGCAGTGGTAGGGAATGGTAACCATGGTAGCAGTGACAGGGAATGGTAACCATGGCAGCAGTGACAGGGAATTGTAACCATGGTAGCAGCGGTAGGAAACGGTTACCATGGTAGCAGTGATAGCAGCGAACTCACCCACGAGGTCACCTCGGTTTTGACCGTTTCCTCACTCAGTTGACTGTTGTTGGTCAAAAACGCCATCATCACGTTCGAGTTGAAGAGCTCTTTACGTGATGGGGGCGAATAGGAGGAGAGGGAGGGGGGGGGGGGAGATCGGGAAACCATGAGAGAGAGAAAAAAATACAGTTTCCAGGCTCTCCGTTCATGGAAAAGCACAGTCTGTCCGTCCGTCCATCCATGTGTCCCTTCGTTTGTCCCTCCATCTGTCCGGCCCTGGTAAGGCGCTGCTGATTGCTGGGTCGGAATCCGGGCCTACAGCCGCAAGTAACTAAACAGGGCCCTCAAGCGCAGCGACCTGGCGGTCTCGGCCCGGTCACCAATGACCGGGCCGAGGCCACCATCGTGTAAAAAAGAAAAGTGGATCTGCACTTAATTTGGTGAAATACCAGCCCTGGGAATAGAGAACATTGCACTATCGCCGTCACGTGACGGACATCGCTCTCAGTCGTGGCAGGGCTGCTGGGTAATCGCTGCCCCCCCCCCCCCCCCGCCGCCACCCCCCTAACTCCGTGAACCAGGGGGGGTCACTGGAAGGCATCTCGGCGGTAGCTGGACGACACCCGCCTCCGCTGGCCACTCGCGAAGGCGACGGGCAACGCCGCTCGCCGCGCGAGGCCCTCGTGCGCTGTCGGGGAAATCCACGCGAGGAGCACAGCGAGCGTTCGCTGTGTGCCACTCTCTCTCTCGCTGTCTCTCGCTGTCTCTCGCTGTCTCTCTAACATCATCGTCGCACTGGCCGCGCCCTTTGAACCTCGAGCGGGGCACCGGCTCGAGCCGACCAAATCTAACCCCTGGCGCAAAGGTCTCCAGCGTCGCTGCTGCCCCCCCCCCCCCGCCCCGCCCCCCCCGCCCCCCCTGGGATCCAGGAGCTAAGCCCGCCGCGAGCACCGCACATCTAAGCCGTCGCATTCTTCTTGCCGAGGGGCGCGGCGAAATTAACCGACGCGTCTGTCGCTTTACACCGAGTTGAGCCGGGGGAAAGCGCCGGCCGCGGACCGGTTCGCCCGCCCAACCCGGCCCGGCCCGGCCCGGCCCGGCTGTCCTGCGAGGCACCGGGACGTCAAGGATTTCCGCACGAGACGAGTGCGGGCACGAACGGGTCGGCTGTCCGATTAGCTCGTTCGGCTCCGCCACCCTCCGATTAGCTCGGTGCGGCGCGAAAGAAGTTCAACGCATTACACCACACACACACACACCGTGCACGCACACACGCACGCACCGTGCACACACCCACACACGCACCATGCACACACCACGTACCACGCACACACACACGCACCCTCACAAACGCACGCGCACCCACGCACACATGCACCACGCACGCACGCACGCACACGCGCATGCACACACGCACCCATAGGCACACACGCACCCACACACGCACGCACGCACGCGAGCGTTCGTCTCACCGAAGAGTTCGACGCAGTCGCCGAGGTCGGGGTCCTGCCACACGGCATCCGTGGTGTAGTACGGCCGGTGGCTGTGGGGTCGGAGCAAAAACGGGAGGGGGGGGGGGGCACAAAACGTGTGAAGGCGCAGCGCCGTGACCGCTCAATCGCGCCCGCCGCCACTACAGCAAGGCTCCGGAGGGGTCATTTGGGCGACTCCTCCAGGTTGGTCAGAGGCGTGTCGGAATAGGTGGACGTAACCCACCGCACTTTTCCCCACGGCTCGCGACATGCCGACCTCTGTGGTATTTACATTTCCTAACTTCGTGCGTAGGGCACACTGAGATCCCCGGATGAACTGTGCCTCATAAATGTAAAATGATGAGTGTTGTCATTATTAGTATCGACTCACTGCTGGTGTACCCGTTGATGCTGCTGAGTGGGCAGAGGCAGGAGGGGAGGGGGCTTGGATTTAAGAAACTTGCCCCATTATTTCACCGACCATTTAACCGCCCGCCACCCAGTGCGGTACATATGCGCGTGGTTTCAACAGTGAATTTTCTCTAGATGTGGACATATCAGAAACGAAAGTAGAAATTATTTTTCATTTCTTGATTTGAAGCTTTCGTGACTGCAGGAATTCATTACTCTTTGGTTCTTTCGGTGAAGTCACGTGGGTAGGAAAGTAAAAAAATAGATCGCGACGTTTCAATCGCAACAACAAGCAATCGTTTTGAGGTGAGAGAGAGAAGCATGCCATGGTGACGAGACATTGTATAGATCTGAGAGGGGGGAGGAAGGGGAGGCCGTAACGGGCGAGAGGGTGGGGGGGGGGTGAAATTCAAAGAGGGCTGAGGTGAGAAAGAGAAAAAAGGAAAAAGAAGCTGAGACATTTATTTCACCAGGTAAGGCCGACTAAGAGCTATTAGCCGTTTTCCAGTAGCGACCTGGCCACAAATGATAGCTAAAAAAAGTGGCTCATCACGTGAAAATGTCTATCAACCAAATACTCTAAACGTGCGTTTCTAAATGTGGAGGGAAAACCCGGAGGACCCGGAGAAGAATCCACCCCAACCTCGGGGAAAGAGAGACACACCGCAAACTCTAAATATACAGCAGCAGGCGTCAGGGTCAGGATCGAACCCACGACCTTCCTGCATACCAGGCGAGGTAGTTAACATCTCCGAGCCACCGTGGCGCACCTCGGTACCGAGCGAGATAATCGGCAATGGAAAACAACGCTGCACCGCATTGCTTGCGGCGAAATCACCCGGAATGCGTCTGATCTCATCCGAGCCTGGGAGCTAAAGCTTGGGTTGCGTCTGGAGAGTACTGGGACGAGAGGCTGCCCTGCGAAGGCCAAGGAGATGGCAGCTGAGCAATGGATCCTTGAATTCATCTGTGCGGAGATCGCAGTGTTAGTCCCCCACGTATTTCGTGAGATTTCTCCAGGTCCTCCGGTTTCCTCGCACGAGCCAAGGACTCATTAAATGTAATTGGCCAACAATGTCCAATGCAGGACCCTCCTTTAAAAAAAGTTCCTTGACATTCAGTGAAACGGCTGAATTAATACCATTAACAATGTTATCGATGGATTTACTCCTACGGAGAGACTTGCCCCCCACGCCGCCAGCCGTAGGAATGTGGAATTTCCACCCCGGCTCAGATCTGTAAACGGGAGAATAGCGCCGATGCCTCAGTGCTCATTCGAGCAGGAGCTCATGTTCGACTTCACAACTGGCAGATGCTATTCTCGCGAATTGCTGACATTTTCACGCCCGTTGAAGATGGCAGCAGTGTTATCGCTCGACGAAATCGAACAATTTGGGCCTCATTCGTGCGCCGGTTTGTCACCGTCGATTTTTCGAGCGGCAGGCACGAGTGGGGGAATCTGCTTCATCGCGTGCGATTGTAAACAAAACGCCACGGGCTGGACGAGACTTTGCAAAGATGTCTCTCTACCCTCCCCGCCACGTGTTTTCACCGCGAAAAAAAAATGAAATGTTTATAGCCGTTGAAAAAAAATAATACGCGATCCCAGTGTTAAGATTCGCTCGCCCGGCCATGTTATTTATACATTTTACAGTTCCTCGCTCCCGACGCCAGCGTTGCGTGAGCCATCTGCGTGTTCGGACAGATACGGTGTTGCTCACTGTGGATAATCATTTTATCGACGGTAATCTCTCCACACTTTTAAGGCAAATACGCGTGGTGGGGGGAAGGGGGAGGGGGGCCGCGGTCGACGGGCGTTTTGACAGCGCGGTGGGGAGAAGAGAGGGCGCGCGAGAAATGCGAGGAGCGGCCCCGACGTTTATTTAATCTCGCGTGTCCGGCTGACAGGATACGGTTCACGTTGGAGCGCGCCCGCTGACGGAAGCGTATTTCATTTCAATTTCATCGGGATCCGCAGAGTGCCCGTCGGCTATGCAATGCATAACAGGACGTCGCCTCCCCCACCACGCCCACCCCCCCCGCCCCCCTACCTCAACCCCCCCGCCCACCCACCACTTATCACCCCCCTTAAAAACGTGGGCTTTGGTTCCCGCACAGGATAGTTTCTTCGTAAATATTTTTCGGGAACCGATTTCAGCGGTTGTTGGCGCGGCCCCCGCGGTCGAATTGGTCGTCTTCGCGGCGGCAACAGCGAGGCCGCGTTTCCCTTCTTGCTAAGATCGGCGGAGGAAAAACAGGATGACGAAATTAAGAGAGCTCCCATTTGCGACGTTAAGATGAAACCAACGAAAAAAAGTCCCGTCGGTTCATTCTCCAAAATCATCACCGACTTTTTTTTCTTTCGATTTAAAGCTTTCGTGACTGCAGGGATTCATCTTCTTGGTTCTTTCGGTAAAGTCGCCACGTAGAAGGGAAACAATAAAATAATAAAAATAAAACATAATAAAAAATGATTTTTATTTTTATGATTTTATTTCCATTCTACGCGACTTTACCGAAAGAACCAAGGAGATGACATCACCGACTTGTGAACGTGCGGGGGGGGGGGGGGGGGAGCAGGCTTTTGCGACAACTCATTCATAAACGTGCTTTGAGGTTACGTTGCTGCTTGTAAATGTCCACGTGATAAGCCACTTTTGTTGAGCGGCCATCATTTGTCCTAGCCAGGTCGCTTCGGAATAATAAGTTAAGTTCCTCGGTGGGCTTTGCCTGGTAGGATGGGGATGATTTCGTGTTGTATTTGTACGTGTTTGGGTGATCTTTACCTTTCTTGTCTTTTGCACTACCATACCTGTCAACCCCTTATCACTGCCCCATACCAGATTACAGACCAAATTCAGACCTTATTGGTCACCCCGTGCCCTCATAAATCTCAACGTTCATCCTACAAAGTCCCATCACAAGGGAGAAACACAAACAAATAGACAAAAATAAACAAAAAAATTGCCCGTATTGAAACGGCTGTACGCCGTATGGACCTGAAAACTCCCTGTACGAGAATACGGGGTAAACCGTATGGGTTGACATCTATGCACTCCTATCACGTTTTTGTATTGTATATTGTTGTAACGTTCTTATCTCGTGCCCCGACTGGACATCTGTGAAAAAGAGCTTCATAGGCTCATCGGATTCCCCCAGCATAAATAATATTCTGATTCTCATTCCGTATTGTTGTTGTGATTGTTTTTGTCGTGAGAATCGGACGGCAAATTTAAAATCCGCCAAGCTCGTGAATCGCACGCGCGGAGCGTCCCACACGGTGGGTTCAGAGGGAGAGCGATGCTGACTTCCTGGCATGGCGACGCAGGGGATCGCCACTGACAGTGAGAGAGAGAGAGAGAAAGAGAAGAGCTTTCTCGTTATCTCGACGAAAATGCCACACGAACAAACAAAAACGAACTCGACCGATAGACTCGTCCAGGGCGATCGGTGCCGGGCACGAAAACCCCGTAAAACCGGCACTCACCAGGCCCGCGTGGCGTTTTGTCCGGGGTTCTGCCGGCACGGCACGGACGCGTTGAGCGACTGCGGCGTCTGCGGCCAGGCGTACGACCCCTTCTTGTCGCTCAGCGTCGTCTCGTTGGGGCACGAAGCTGCACAACAGGCAGAAGATCCCACGGCGTAGCCTTCAACGGACTGTCGGGGCGAAGCGCCGTTAGCGAGCAGCACCTATGAAGGCCGGCATGGCACACGTGGGGGCGCGTGTGGCCAGCACCACGCCCGGCCGCCTTTTGTCTCTCCCTAGTGGCGATGTTCACCCGTAGCACCAGGTCGACGCCTGAGGTTGATAATAAAGGTTTTTTGGGTTAGATCGCGTTATTTATAAATGTGTCGTAACCCTCCACCACCCGACACGGCCAATCAGCAAAAAAAAAAGTGTCACGTTGACAAAAGAGAAATAATTCACTACTTTAGCCCACCGGTGTGTTGAAGAGTGAATCCACAACATTTACAGTTTGAGTACGACGTTTCGCTGGTAAATACATCCAGCATCATCGGGCAATTCGCCAGAATGGTAAAGCCCTCGCTTGCTCCCGGTTTTATATAGAGCAGCTTGAGGTTGAGTCGGCCCGAGGGGATGCCCAGGACCGGTTCAGATGCTCGTCATCCGATGATGGCTGCGAGCGGGAGTCGAACTCACCGACTGACGTTAGCCAAGGCCGGCGTTGTATGACAAAATAAAAAATAAAAAAGGTACGTGGGTAATTAAGTTATTTTGCCAGGAGTTAGCTCAAAAGATTTCCCTGCAATGGCCGTGGGTAGCCCTGGCAGTGAATGTACCTGTCACGACGTTGCAGTTGCTGACATTGGGCTCTGCCCACCGAGCCACCATCTCGTACGGTTCCCGATAGCTGTCCAACAGGGTCAACAAGAGAGCGAGAGAGAGACGGAATTAACTAAACATGCAGCAGCCACGTAACACTCGTTCATCCATACTCAACAACGCACGCTGCAGATCCCACGGCACAGTTGTTTCCAAGTGTCGTGTTACCCAGTGCGCGACGTGAGCCGGGAATGTGAACGATTTAATAATCACCGGGACCCATATCCTTACGGGAGAGAGGTCCTCGCCCATAAACATCTGGCATGACAAGTAAGAAGAGGTTTTTGCCCTTTCTGGCAACAGAACAGCAGGTGCTAAGATGTTCAAACACCAAACAGAAAGCTTTTGCATGGCATCAAGTTACTGCGTTAACCACACACAGTACTTGCGGTGAACATGCAAACAAACTCTGATGATAAATATATAGCATTGTCTTTGAAATTGATTGGCCCTACAGCAGAGACAGACTTCTTAATGGCGAAGTCTCTCACCAGTAATCAGACCAGGGAGCGCCAAAAGGCGAACATCTGGCAGTTCACCAGCAATGATTCAAGCGAGCCCGACTCCGCTGACGAGACACTGGATGTCGAAAGCAGTCCCGGCGGATTTTTCTATTTTTCTCGCGCCCAATCGACGTTGCTGGAATTCTGCACTCCCAGAAGGGACGTTTGGGGCAAGGCCTTGCGCGAAATATGTCCGTGTGTTCTCGCCCGAGCTACTTCGAGTCATCGCTGGCTCTGCCCCACAGGACTTGATCTACTCTTGTCACTCGGAGTTAAGAAGCTGAACGAGGGATAGACAAAACGTGTCTCAGAGCACGTGCAAAAGTAGCATGAAGATGATGACGACGACGACAATGGATGATTTGCAAAACGTAATCATGAATCCAGCCGGCCGGTGGGCCTTAGCTCCAGCGAGCAATCAGAGCCAAGTGATCGTTGAGCCATGAAAAATAACCGGAATCAGAACATGAAGTTATACCTGGCCACAAATAATAGCTCAACGAAGTGGCTTATCATCAAGGTGGAACATTTATAGCAGCCAACTACCGTCAATTCCAAATGTGGAGGGAAAAACCGGAGGACCCGGAGAAAAATCCACACGACCACGGGGTGAGAGAGAGAGAGAGAAAACAAGCAAACTCCAAATATAGAGCAGCAGGCGTCAGGGTCGGGATCGAACCCACGACCTCCTGCATACAAGGCGAGGGAGTTAACATCCCGCCACCAAATGTCTGGGACCTTGGATTCAGCCGTTGTCTGTCGACCCAATGGGTTGCACTCATCTCCCGGATTAAATAAAGGACGCAAAAATCAACGCTCATCAGCCGCGTTCGTTCCGCTGCTGGATGAAGGGCACCGTTCCCTTTGGCAACGACTCGTCGCACCCGGTGGATACCGCGCGGACCGCGTACCATCGCATCGTGGCGTTACTCTCGGGGTTCTGCATGCACGGTACGGATGCCAACTGGCCAGCTTGCGTCGGCGGCCACTCGTACTCTCCTCTGTCCGTGATGACCGCTGAGGTCCACCTACAGAACACTGCAAAGACAAACCGTGTAGCCTTAGTAGACTGTTGGGTCAAGTGTTGGAAGCGAGCACCCATGATTGCCGGCATGGCACACGAGGGGGGTGGGTGGCCAGCACCACGCCCGGCCGTCTTTGTCTCTCCAGTGGCGACGTTTACACACCGCACCAGGTACTGACTTTAGGCTGAGTCGATCTAGGAGAGGCACAGGACCAGTTAGGATATTTGTCACCACTGTTGGCCACGAGCGGTAATCGGAATTCGAACTCAGGCCACTGGGTTTGTAGCGCAGGCGCATGGATGCGTGAGCGAGCACGCGCACACACACGTGAGTGAGTGAGAAAATGCACACACGCGTGATCGAGCAAATTCACACACGCGTGAGTGAGCAAATTCACACACGCGTGAGCGAGCAAATTCACACACGCGTGATCGAGCAAATTCACACACGCGTGAGCGAGCAAATTGACACACGCGTGAGCGAGCAAATTCACACACGCGTGAGCGAGCAAATTCACACACGCGTGAGCGAGCAAATGCACACACGCGTGAGTGAGTGAGCGAGCAAATGCACACACGCGTGAGTGAGAGAGCGAGCAAATGCACACACGCGTGAGTGAGAGAGCGAGCAAATGCACACACACGTGAGTGGGAAAGCGCGTATAGACGCGCTCACGTATCGAGAGTGGCGTTCAGATAAACACGACACGGATGAACGCAAGCCGGGTAGGCTTTGCGCGCACTGACACCTGATCCCCACCCCCCCAACTCCCCCCCACCCCCCCCCAACTCCCACACGCACCCCCCACCCCCCCCCCCCCCCCGTTTCCAGAGGAAACTTTTTTACCAAACTATTTTTCCAAGTTGGTTTGATAACAAAGGGCAGTGCTGTTTAACCCTCGCCAACGTTTCCACTGCACGGCAGAGAGGGACAAAGGTGCAGCCCTGCAACTGCTTGCTCGCGACACCGCTGGTTGATAGGTCTCACACCGGACGGGAGCTCTAGACAACCGTCCCCAGACGGGATTTTGGGTTTTGCCTTCCACGCCGGAAAGACGTCTTGTCGGTGGGAGTACCTACACTTGCACCGATGAACCCGTTTACATCGCTGAGTGGGATTTATGAAGTGGGGGGAAGGGGGGGGTGACGGAGGGGGCAGTCTGTGCACCATGCCCACCACGACGCGCCGGCTCGGACCGCGACCACGACTCGAACTCTCACCCTGAATGTCCTCGCAGGCGCTGACGTCCGCATCCAGCCACTGGGCGCTGAGGGCAAACGGCGTCAGCTCGCTGTTGCAAACATCAACAAGAAACAACAACAACACGATCAAAATCGGCTTGGGGGAGGCCTTCGTCCAGCAATGGATTGTGTATGCATGTTGAACTTATTTTACATCGTCTGTCGCCAACCGTGCAGATCGGAGGTGTGGGGGAAGGACAACAAACTAAACACGAAAAGCAGTTGCAAGGAATTGAGCTTTCGATTGCGTTTTCAAGTGCAGAGCTCCCGTGACTTCCAAATATCGGACGGAAGAACGTTCCAGACGGCCGCAAGAAGCACATCTGAAAGCATGCGACGCGGTGACCATTTTTGTTCGATGGCCACCCAAAAAGCCGCTGCTGCAAGGGATGATGATGATGATGCTGATTAATTTTGACCATGGCTGATGATGCTGATGAATTAATAAACTGGGAGAAGCGTCCCCAACGAGCATGAAGACATCGTGGAAGGCGCCACGGTGGCTAGGAGATGTTAACTACCTCGCCTGGTATATAGGAGGTCGTGGGTTCGATCCCGACCCTGACGCCTGCTGTATTTTGGAGTTTCCATGTCTCTCTCCCCGTGGTCACGTGGATTTGTCTCCTGGGTACCCCAGTTTTTTCCCCCCTCCATACTTAGAATCAATATCACGCGTTCAGAGCATTTGGCTAATATATATTTTTTCCACGTGAAGATAAGCCACTGAGTTGAGCTCGTCATTTTGTGATAGCCAGGTCGCTTCTGCGAAAAGAGCTCTACGGTGAAGCTCAGCGGGCCTGTCCCGGTAAAAATAGTTTATAGGGAATAAAATAATAAATTTATAAAATAAAATAACACAATAATATTCTCACGACGTTTCGGCCACAACACAAGCGGCCTTCATCAGGTGAAGGGGCGAGACTGTCTGGTACTGTCTGGTAGGACAGCGCTGTCCTACCAGACAGTCTCGCCCCTTCACCTGATGAAGGCCGCTTGTGTTGTGGCCGAAACGTCGTGAGAATATTATTGTGTTATTTTATTTTATCAATTTATTATTTTATTCTCATTCTACGTGACTTTACCGAAAGAACCAAAGAAGATGAATCATTGCAGTCACGAAAGCTTTAAATCGAAATTTAGTTTATAGGGGTTTCCTTTTGCTTTTATATTAACAAAACGGGAGCCCGATACAGCACACAAGCGGGTGTTGTAATTCACGGACGATAGTCCCCCGAAGCGACTGAACTGTATGGAGGAGGCCGGAGGTAAAAGGTGGTGGGGGGAGGGGAGGGGGGGGGCCCTTCACTGCCCCAACCAAGTGAGGACGCAAAGTCGGGGAGAAAGTGGACGGTCGTATAGGGACGGAGGTCACGGAGGGAGGTGGAAGTATAACCAACCGAGTGAGGGAAACCTGGTGTAGTAGGGTGGGTGGAGGGGGAAGAGGGGGGGGGGGATACTCTTTGGTTCTTTCGGTAAAGCCACGTAGGTAGAAATACAATCAAATAAAACAAAATCACGACGTTTCGATCGCAACACAAGCAACCTTCATCAGGTGGTTGTTCCACCTGATGAACATTGCTCGTGTTGCGATCAAAGAGTATGGATTCCTGCAGTCACGAAATCTTCAAATCAAGAGGGGGGGGGATAGTTTAGTTCTTGAGATGGGGGGGGGGGGGGGGGGGGGGGGGTGGCCGTATTGTCGCGGACCCGGTGCGCGGGGCCGTCCGGTTGGGGTTCTGAGCGCAGGGCACGGAGGCGTTGAACGGCGACCGCGTCTGGGGCCAGCTGTAGACGCCTTTGTCGCGTGTTGCGTTCACCTCTTCCCGGCAGACGGCTGCTCGAGGAACACGCGCGCGGACACAGACAGACACACACAAGCAAAGATAAAGATCACCCGTATAGCCTTAACAGATTGTTGGGGCAAGTGCTGTTGGCGAGCACCTATGAAGGCCGGCACGGCACACGAGGGGGTGGGTGGCCAACATCACGGCTGGCCGCCTTTGTCTCCCCAGTGGCGTTGTTTACACGTCACACCAGGTACTCATTTCAGGCTGAGTCGACTTTGTGGAGGCCCAGGACCGGTTCTAATAATCGTCACTGTTGTTGGCTGTGAGCGGGAATCGAACCCTGGGTCGCCAAGCTCATAGCGCAGCGTGCTAACCGCTACACTACCACTCCCCACACAGATACACACAGACAGAAACACACACACAGACACACACACACGCAGACACACAGACACACACAGACACACACACACAGACACACACAGATACACACACAGACATACACACAGACACTCAAACACACACACAGACACACACAGACACACACAGACAAACACACACATAGACAGACAGACACGCACGTGCGTCAAAACGTACACAGGGATACAATAAAAGACAAAGATCCCCCTACCCGTATAGCCTAAACAGATTGTTGGGCGAAGTGCTGCTGGCGAGCAGCACCTATGAAGGCTGCTCGCAAACAGGTTTCCGAGGGGGTGATGGGGGGGGGGCAGTCTGTGCACCGTGCTCGCCTAGACGCGCCGGCTCGGACCGCGACTCAAACTCTTACCCTGAATGTTCTCGCAGGCGCTGACGTCCGGATCCAGCCAATGGGCGCTGGCAGCAAACGGCTCCCGTTCGCTGTCGCAAACATCAACAACAAACAACATCAAAATCGGCTTCCGGGAGGCCTTCATCCAGCAGTGGATTAAGTACGTATGTATGTTGAACTTCTTTTTCACCTGTCTTAGCCAACCGTGCTAATCGGAGGTGCGGGGGAAGGGCAACAAACTGAACACAAAAAGCAGTTCTAAAGAAACGCGTTTTTAAATTTTAGATTTAAAAGTTGCATGACTCCATGTGCTTCCTAATATGAGCGTTCCAGACGGCCGCAGAATCGCATCTGAAAGCGCGTGATGCGGTGACCGTCTTTGTTCGATGGCCAGCCAAAAGCCGCTGCTGCGAGGGACGGTGACGACGATGCTGATGAATTTTGACCATGGCTGATGATGCTGTTGAATTCCTAAACTGGGAGCGCATCTCCAGTGAGTTTGGAGGCATCGTGGAGGAGGGCGCCATGGTGGCGAGATGTTAACTACCTCGCCTGGTATGCAGGAGACCGTGGGTTCAATCCCAACCCTGACGCCTGCACATTTGGAGTTTGCGTGTCTCTCTCCCACCGTGGTCGCATGGATTTGACTGCGGGTCCTCCGGTTTTCTTCCCTTCCACATTTAAAATCAACATCACGTGTGTCAAGTATTCGGCTGCTATACATTTCCACGTGATGATAGTTTAGTTCTTTATATCGGGCTGTAGCGTCGCTGACCAGGTGCGCGTGGCCGTCCGGTTGGGGTTCTGAGCGCAGGGCACGGAGGCGCTGAACGGCGACCGCGTCCGGGGCCAGCTGTAGACGCCTTTGCTGCGCGTCGCGTTCACCTCGTCCTGGCAGACGGCTGCTCGAAGAGCACACGCACGGACACAGACACAGACAAAGATAAAGACAAAGGTCCCCCGTATAGCCTTAACATACCTGTAGGGGCAAGTGCTGTTAGCGAGCACCTACGAAGGCCGGAACGGTACACGAGGGGGGTGGGTGGCCAGCACCACGCCCCGAACCACCGTTGTCTCCCCAGTAGCGGTGATTTTACACACCGCACCAGTCAACTTAGAGGAGGGCCAGGACCAGTGCACATAATCGCTGTCACTTGTGTTAGCCGTGAGCTGGAATCGAACTCGGGTCGCCGGGTTCGTAGTGCAGCGCGCTAACCGCGACACAGCCGACACACAGAGACACACGCGTGCAGCGCTGAAAATTATCTGGCATGCGACGGGGTGGAGAGCGGTGGGTGGAGTGGTCGGATGGGTGATTTTTTTTCACTTTTCTTGCACTTTGTACTCCTATGTTTTTTTGTGTTGTTTGTTTTACAGCTATTTGGATCGCTCCTGCAGTATAAATATTCTGATTCTGAAACGTGTGACCTCTTGCGGGAGACAGAGAGATAGCTAGAGAGAGTGAGAGCTAGACTTTTAAACCACTTTCATTGCTGCCAGCAGCAACGGCATTGGAGCCGATATCGATACGAAACAAAGTCACCAGCAACAAATAACCGAACACAATAAAGAAAAACCACGCGCTGCGGCACGTGGCACTACACGCGCCACGCGCGACACAAAGAAACGTCACGTGATGGTGGTCGCCGCGCACGCCACGCCCGACGACCGAGCACGCGGGACGGTGACGAGGGTGCCATTCACGCCCGTACAGAGGGGCTGTTCCCGACCCCAGCGTTCGAAGAAGACGAGCGCTAGAGACAGAGTTAGAGAGAGAGAGAGATAGAAAGTTAAAGAGAGAGCTAGAGAGAGCGAGAGAGAGAGAGTTAGAGAGAGATAGCTAGAGAGATAGCTAGAGAGAGAGTTAAAGAGAGAGTTAAAGAGAGAGCGAGAGAGAGTTAAAGAGAGAGCTAGAGAGAGAGTTAAAGAGAGAGAGACTTAGAGAGAGAGAGACAACTCTCAGCGTGCTCCCCCGTACCGAGATCAGCGACGGAGGAGAGGACGAGACGAACGCTCAGCTCCGGCTGGGCGACGTAGCTGGTGCCGGCCTCACTTGTACCCACGTCCCCCACCGAGATGCTGCTGCTGTTGCTGCTGCTGTTGTTGCTGCTGTTGCTGCTGTTGCTGCTGCTGCTGTTGCTGCTGCTGCTGTTGCTGCTGCTGTTGCTGCTGCTGCTGCTGTTCTGGCTGTCGTCGGGGCCATCCGTGCGGGTGGTGTTGGAGCTCTCAGTCTGGTTGATTGCCGAGCTGCTGTTGCTGCTGTCATTCGAGCGGTTGTCCGGGTTGTTGGTGCTGCTGGCACTCGTGGATGTGCTGTTGTTTTGGTTGCTGCTGCTGCTACTGCTGTTGTTTCCACCACCGTTACTGTTGTTGTTGTCGCTGTTTTTGTTGTTGTTGTTGCCGTTGTTGTTGCCGTTGTTGTTGTTGTTGTTGTCGCTGTTTCCGTTTGATCGCTTCCTCCGATTGCTGTTGTAGCTCCCCGTCTGGTTGACGTCTGAGACCTGCGCGCTGCTGCTGCTGCTGTTGTTGTTTGTGACGCCGCTCGCGTTGTTGATGGAGCGGCTGGTGTTGAGGCTCCGGATGATCTCGCTCAGCGTGGTGGCAGAGTCACAGGCCACGCCGTCTAGAGCGCCCACAGCCGTCAGCTGCGCCGTCCCCGCAAAGCTGCGTGTGGGGACATCGTCGCAAAGGGAGACATCGGTTTCTTATTTTGTCTTCAAATCAAACGTTTTCTCGCGTCCTGTTATGCCGGTTCAGCTATCAAAAAACAACAACACACACGCCCTGCCACCTCTATTTGCGTGTGGCATTTTAAAACGGTGTCATCATTAACAAGTGGAACCGTACAATGTACTCGAATTAAAAATGTCACTCGTTCGTGTGTAATGCGATGACGAGATGATGATGATGATGACGCCATATTTAATGCGTTAATCCATTTAATCCCGTGAGGTCAACTACGTAAAATAATAAGATTGCCATCCGCTAATGTTTGGGACCATTGCACAAAATGATGATGCAGGAATGACGTTTGTATGGTTGAGACGAGGGAGAAGGTGATAGATAGAGGCACAGTCCCTGCATTTTCTCTCTCACGCCACTGCTGCCAGTAGGGCCTGCACTAGGGGGCGTTCTGGATAACCCCTCTGGAGAGTGTTATTGGCCTTTGCCATGCTGGTCAGACGTCCAACATTGAAGAGATGAGAGTACCCACACTTTACCACCACCACCACCACCACACGCAAATCTGCCCATCGACCGTGGCGTACTGAATGGTAGAGAGGTGGTCGGAGATTTAAGAAAAAATTTGGCCATTGTTTTTTTTTAACTGCTGCGCCTGGAGATGAAACCGCGCGGCCTCTGGATTGCAAGTCCAGTGAGCCATCACCTTAAGGCAACATCCGGCCAATGATATGACCGATCATTAAAAAGAATGTGACGAGATCACGATTAATGATGCCATATTTTCTGAGCTAATCCATTTAATTGCCACTCAACAGATTCGTGAATAACAACTGTGTGTGTGTGTATGTGTGGCGATAGTGTAGCGGTTAGCGCGGTGCGCTATGAACCCGGCGACACGGGTTAGATTCCCGCTCACGACCAACACCAGTGACGATTATCTGAACCGGGCCTCCCCTAGGTCGACTCAGCCTCAAATGAGTACCTGGTGTGGTGTGTAAACATCGCCACTAGGAAGACAAAGGCGGTCGGGCGTGGTGATGGCCACCCACCCCCTCGTGTACCGTTCCGGCCTTCAAAGGTGCTCGCTACCAGCACTTGCCCCTACAGTCTGTTAAGGCTATATGGGGGATCTTTATCTTTGTGTGGCCTTTAAGGAAAAATATAATAGGTGACGTTTCGGGCAATGACCCTTCGGAATGCATAAAAAGATTAACAAATGTTTTGCAATTCACTGTGACAATTGAGGACGTGAAAAAAAAACGACGATTGTTGTATGGCAGAGGATGACAACGCTGATGTGAACTCGTTTTTTGCGTCTGTTAATATGCACAGACTTAATGGCATCAAATAAAGTTGTGAAAACCCCAATAACAACGAGGCCAGGTCTGACCCTTGATTGAACAGCTGAACCATATTACCTTGGTGAATTGCCGTATTGTTTGTGGTGGGGACATTGGAATAACTTCAACCGCAAATCAGACGAAACAGATGTATAACGCCAGTCGCTCATGAATCCGCCAAAAGCTCAAAAAATGTAACCGATATAGTCTCAATATTTTGAAAGAAGCCATGCATGTCAGCGCTTTCATTTCAGTTCACATGTGTATATATATATTTTTTGCGTTTAAGGTAATATAAAACAAATGTCTTTTTTTATATATAGAGTGGCCACGTGGTTCAAAAATTCACAAGGGCACTAAAGCTGGCAGCGAATGACATTTTGAGTCTGAACCGTGGGATTCAGCCACCCGTGATTAAACCAGCGCCTCCTGTCTAATGGATGTAGTGGTCTCACTTCCGCACACCGAATGACTGCACTAAGAAATCCATCACGGTGGTAAAATTATAAATACATTTCTTCCTAAATGTGGCCACGTTCCAGCACTTAAGAATTAATAATTTGTACTTCCCATGTGATCAAAGCACTGAACCCTCGTGTGGATAAAGTGACTTAGATTATATTATTTCGCCGCTATACATTTCCACATCATAAGCCGCTTATTTTTTTGCTAGATTTTGTGGCCAGGTCGTTTCTGAAAAATAATTTAAGTCCTCAGTGGGCTTTAGCTGGTAACATAAACATAGCTCCGTTTCATTTAATATTCTTTTAAGAGTGATTTGTTTACCTTTCCTATACGTTGCACACCTATCGTTTTTTTAGTATTACTTGTTGTTACGTTCTGACGCCGTGCCCCTACTGAACATCTGTGACAAAAGCTTTATAGCTCATCGGATTCCTGTCGTATAAATACTTATTTTGATTCTCAATTGGACCTTTTTTGCCAGTATCAAAGTATGAAAAACATATTCTCATTCTGATTCTGACTTAAAGTAAGTAAGAACATTTGATATTGCGCACACTCTTATGAGTTCAGTCCATCAGGGCTCTCAGAAGTAGTTATGTGACATCTCCTTCCAAGGGTCGTTTTCTCTAACACGGATGGGGAGGGAGGGGGGTGTCTCGCCAGTCAACGACAAAAGTTCCGAATTATCGCTTCGTCTTGACACGACACCGATGGCACAAGGTTGGCAAGAACGCAACACAAACAAACACACACACACACAAAAAGTTACATCCCACTGATACGTTTTCAGGAAGGAACCTGACCATCTTCAGGAACCTGACCATCTTCAGGAATCCGACCATCTTCAGGAGCCCGACCATTTTCAGGAACCTGACCATTCTCAGGAGCCCGACCGATTTTCAGGAACCTGACCATTCTCAGGAACCTGACCATCTTCAGGAACCCGACCATCTTCAGGAACCTGACCATTTTCAGGAACCTGACCATCTTCAGGAACCTGACCATCTTCAGGAACCTGACCATCTTCAGAAACCTGACCATCTTCAGGAACCTGACCATCTTCAGGAACCTGACCATCTTCAGGAACCTGACCATTTTCATGAACCCGACCATCTTCAGGAACCTGACCATCTTCAGGAACCTGACCATCTTCAGGAACCTGACCATTCTCAGGAGCCCAACCGTCCCAACTACCGAATAAAATGTCCTCGCACCAAAAAACCGCTCAAAATCACAAAGGCTTTTTAATTTCGGAACCCGCCGTGCTTGAGAGAGAGAGAGAGAGCGCAAATCACGTGCATATCCTGCGCTCGCAATGCGTGGCTCGGAATGAACCTGACGCTCAAAGGAAACAATGTCAACACGAAACACGGCACGCATGTGAACACCTGCTGACCGAATGAACGGACGTCTTTGTGTGAGACTACTCGCCCACAGAGCCGGATTAAGTTTGATGATGGCTGGGGAAGTTGGGGGGGGAGGGGGGCTGTTATAGTTTGGAGGTGGAGGTGGGGGGAGGTGGGTCCCTCTGTATATTCAACTATTTCACTGTTCTACCACGATCGCTCCGTGGGCATTCATTCGCCTTGATTGCTGCGTGAAGTTCCGTGCTTTAAATGTGTCGCGATATGCGACCCGTGCAGACGAAATCGCGGTCAAAACGAACAAAACGTGTTCACAATCTGCACGTGACCGGCAGTAGTAACACGCGCAGTGACGCTATGGGTAATCACAACTTTACCCCGTAGGATGGATCACCGTGCTGCACATATTCCATTTCGTTCATTACAACGCTGTATTAAGTTAACTTTTATTGTGGTGGGCGGTGGTGAGGGGGTGGACTTCAAAATCCAAGCCTCAGCACCCCCCCACCTCCCCCTTCCCGGGGGTCTGCACCCCCTTAAAGCCTCCCTCGTGATAATGCGGCTGTGGGCACGCAGAACGAATTCTGGAGATCAAGCCGCGCCTGTGTGATGGTGCGCGCCTCACCTGAGTGACGCAATTCCCCCGCCTTGAGTGACACCTCGCGATCCCTGCGCCTGGACGCACGCGGACGCACGCGGACACACGTGTGTCACACGTTTGACAATAAACACCACGTGGAATTTATGTTTTTTTTTATCTCCCCTTCCACTTGCTTCGACCGCAGGAGGATCGCAACAACACAACAATGTCACGGGTTGCCCCGGCACGGTGCCTTTAAGCGGCTGTCACTGTCGCGCCCGTGTGTGAGAGTGCCCCTTAGCAGTCGGTGAAGGCTATACGGGGGATCTTTGTCTTTGTCTTGTGTTAGTGTGTGTGTGGGGGGGGGGGGGGGGGGGGGAGCGGTGGTGTAGTGGTTAGCGCTACGCTGCGCTACGAAACCCGGCGGCCCGAGTTCGATTCCCGCTCAAGGCCAACACCGGTGACGATTATCTGAACCGGTGCTGGGTCTCTTCTAGGTCGACTCGGCCTCAAATGAGTACCTGGTGCGGTGTGTAGTAAACATCAGCGCTAGGGAGACAAACGCGGCCGGGCGTGTTGCTGGCCACCCACCCCATCGCGTGCCGTGCCGGCCTTCATAGGAGCACTTGCCCCCAACAACTTTGTTAATGCTATACGGGGTATCTTTGTCTTTGTGCGCGTACATACAATTAGTCAATCGTGTGGTGGGGTGAAGTGTGGATACTCGGACATCTTCCAGGGTGCCTGACCAACGCCGCAGAGTGGGCCAACGTATCGCTCGTTCAAGTGGAACTCTGTCCACAAGCAGTGGCGTTGAGAGAGTCACTTGCACGGCCGGACTTTGCCATGTTTGCTCCCCTCTCTCTCACTCGAATAATCCGTAAGGCATCTGCGACTAAAGCCTCGCATTCCAGAGCGCGCCGAGGTAAGCCCGAAGCAACGTTCACTCACCTCTTCCACGTCCTCTGCGTCCAACCTCACAAAGCTATGACAAAGGAAAGAGGTGGAGGGGACGGGGGTGGGGGGTGGGGAGAGATGGTGGCAGGGAAGACGATGCGGGCAGTGAGAACCAACATCAGTTCGGCTCTTCGGGAACAATCAGCGCTTGCATCGTGGAGTTTCCTAAAAGAAGAAGAATCGAACAAAAAACTCCCGGCGCTTGTGGAGCGAAACGTCGGGCGTCGCGCCGATGGACGCGCGGCAGAACCCGGAGAGCTGCACGGCGAGAACCCACGGGGTCGCTGAGGTTCATCATCATCATCACGTGCTTGCTAGATTCCCGCTTCCCGCACCTCCTATTAGCACGAATTAGCTACGTACCACGCGAGAAAAAGCTCAACATCATACAAAGACAAAAGGTCCCCCGTATAGCGTTAACAGGCCAATGGGGCAAGTGCTGTTAGCGAGCACCTATGAAGGCCGCAACGGCACACGAGGTGGTTGGTGGCCAGCACCACGCCCGACCGCCTTTGTCTCCCCAGTGGCGATGTTTACACAACCGCACCGGGTACTCATTTGATGCGAAGTCGACCTAGGGGAGGCCCAGGACCGGTTCAGATAATAATCCGTCACCGGTGTTGGCCGTGAGCGGGAATCGACCACGGGTCGCCAGGGTTCGTAGCGCAGCGTAGCGCTAACCGCTCCACCACCGCTCCCCCCCCCCCGCACGCACGCGCTCACGCATCTCGTGAGCTGGCAAGCCGCGGAGACGCAACTCCCCTCCGGGGGTGGGGGTGGCGGGGGGGTGGAGGTCTGAGACCCCACGACCTCCATCCTGCCCAAAGTTGTGGAAGACATCGTCCCAACTCGAGAGGAGGGGGCCGAGTCAAGGTGCCGAGTAACGGGGCCTCCGTCTCGCGCAGGCTGACACAACACACGGGCCCCCCAAGCGGGCATGGATCTGCCAGCGGGGGAAAAGTTGCCGCGTGATTTAGCTCAACGGATCCCCCCCCCCCCCCAGCGGCAGCTGTCCCTTTGCAGCGAGTCTGCATGGAACCTGCAAGAGGGAACGAGTCTCTTGCTGTGTGTGACCCCCCCCCCATCGAGCGCACGTGGCAATGAATAGTAAAATGGTTTTTTTCTTCTTCCAAAATTGGGATCGCGACGAGGGTTTGGCGCGCGGGGTGCGTGTGTGAAGCTCATGCCTGATGTTCCCGAGCGCCGTGCTGAACGGGAGGTCGCTCATCGCCTGCTGAAGCTGCGGGTGGGCAAATCGCAAGTTGTGTCACGTGGCGGCAACTCTGACGACGCAACCGGGTTCTAACGCGAACGGTGTACGCACACGAGGCACGTGTGCACATACACACATACACGTGGCAACACGTGTACGCATACATACACACGCACGTGAAACACGTTTACAACACACATGTGGAACACGTGTACACATGCATGCACACGTGGGACACGTGTACACACAGACACACGTGGAACACGTGTACACACGTGGGACGCGTGTACACATAGATAAGCACGTTGAACAAGTGTGAACACACATGTGGAACACGTGTAAACATAGACACACACGTGGAACACGTGTGCACATAGACACACACGTGGAACACTTGTACACATAGACACACACGTGGAACACGTGTACACACACACGTGGAACACGTGTACACACACGTGGAAAACGCGTACACACACACGTGTAACACATGTACACATAGACACATACGTGGAACGTCTGTATATTGGACTTAATTAGCACCGTACTTAGCCAACCGTGCTACGTCTACGTTCAACAACGGGTTGCCTGGACATGTGTGAAACTACTGGACATGTGTGAAACTACTGGACGTGTGTGAAACTACTGGACGTGTGTGAAACTACTGGACGTGTGTGAAACTACTGGACGTGTGTGAGACTACTGGACGTGTGTGAAACTACTGGACATGTGTGAAACTACTGGACATGTGTGGAACTACTGGACGTGTGTGAACTACTGGACATGTGTGGAACTACTGGACGTATGTGAAACTACTGGACGTGTGTGGAACTACTGGACATGTGTGAAACTACTGGACGTGTGTGGAACTACTGGACATGTGTGAAACTACTGGACGTGTGTGAAACTACTGGACGTGTGTGGGACTACTGGACGTGTGTGAAACTACTGGACGTGTGTGAAACTACTGGACATGTGTGAAACTACTGGACGTGTGTGGAACTACTGGACGTGTGTGGAATTACTGGACGTGTGTGGAACTACTGGACGTGTGTGAAACTACTGGACGTGTGTGGGACTACTGGACGTGTGTGGAACTACTGGACATGTGTGAAACTACTGGACGTGTGTGAAACTACTGGACGTGTGTGAAACTACTGGACGTGTGTGAAACTACTGGACGTGTGTGAAACTACTGGACGTGTGTGGGACTATTGGACATGTGTGAAACTACTGGATGTGTGTGAAACTACTGGACGTGTGTGAAACTACTGGACGTGTGTGAAACTACTGGACGTGTGTGGGACTATTGGACGTGTGTGAGACTACTGGACGTGTGTGAAACTACTGGACGTGTGTGAAACTACTGGACGTGTGTGAACTACTGGACGTGTGTGAAACTACTGGACGTGTGTGAAACTACTGGACGTGTGTGAAACTACTGGACGTGTGTGGAACTACTGGACGTGTGTGAAACTACTGGACGTGTGTGAACTACTGGACGTGTGTGAAACTACTGGACGTGTGTGAAACTACTGGACGTGTGTGGAACTACTGGATGTGTGTGGGACTACTGGACATGTGTGAAACTACTGGACGTGTGTGAAACTACTGAACGTGTTTGAAACTACTGGACGTGTGTGGGACAAAAAGAACTTCATAGCTCATCGGATTCCATGCGGCCTAAATAAAGATTCCCATTCTGACTGTGCGAAAAGGCAGCGAGGGGGCGTGCGTGCGTGCCTCCTTATCTCGAGTTTTGCAACTGCAAAAAGACTGGGTTATTATATTCTTGGTTCTTTCGGTAAAGTCACGTAGAAGGGAAACAATAAAATAATACAAATATAAAACAATACAATTCTCATGACGTTTCGACTGCTCATTGGATTGTTTTATATTTTTATTATTTTATTATTTTCCCTTCTATGTGACTTTGCCGAAAGAACCAAGAATATGAATCCCTGCAGTCACGAAAGCTTTAAATCAAGACTGGGTTATTGTTGATTTGTTTGTGCGTGTGTGTGTGTGCGCGTGTGCGTATGTATCCCTTCCCAAGAGGCCAAGCTAAGTCTGTCTCGAGCGGCTGCTGTGAACAATCGCAGCCAGAGGGGAATGTTTCGCCTATGTGGCCTTAGTCTCCCCGGTGGCGATGTTTACTACACACCGGACTGGGTGCTCGCTTGAGGCTGAGTCGACCTAGGCGAGGCCCAGGACCGGTTCAGAAAATCGTCGCTCGGTGTTGGCCGTGAGCAGGAATCGAACTCGGGTCGCCGGGTTCGTAGCGCAGTGCGCTAACAGGTGCACTACGGCTCCCCACTTATACCCAAATGGATAAAACAAAGACAAAAATTCCCCATATAGCCTTAACAGACTGTAGGGGCAAGTGCTGTTAGCGAGCACCTATGAAAGCCAAAACGGCACACGAGGGGGTGGCTGGCCACCACCACGCCCAGCCGCCTTTGTCTCCCCAGTGGCGATGTTTACACGTCGTACCAGGTACTCATTTGAGGCTCAGTCGACCTAAGGGAGGCTAAAACACGCACTCACCCACACACGTGGGAGTTATTTCATGCACTCACTTAAATGCTCATTCTTTCATTCACTCAATCACCCAAATGATCATTCTTTCATTCACTTGCTGACACAAATGCAATTTTTTTCCTTCACTCACTCACTCATATGCTAATTATTTCATTCACTCATTCGCTCGCCCAAATGCCAATTTTTTCATTCATAATAAAGCTTTTTTTTTTCATTCACTCACCCAAATGTTTATTCTTTCACACACTGATTGGTGTTTGCGCTATAGGGCTGTGGTGGCTACTTGTGAGGTTTATGGTTAACCTCGGCGTGGTTGTCCATGTTAGGGTTAGGCCGTTAGGGCTACGATGGGCAGTGGTGGAGCGTGGTTGACGTGGGTCCTCGCGCAGTACATTACATCCCCCCCCCCGTCCAAATGCCTACCCTCGGCCACCAACGCCTGCCCCCCAAACTTTGTAGCTGCCATCTGGGCCCCTCAAGCGGTGCAGTTGCACCGCCTGCACACTCAGTAGCTACGTTCCTGCGTCCTATGTTAGTCTACGGGTCTCTATGTATCTCTATGGGTCGAGAGTGGGTCGATTGGTCTCTATGTAAGTCTACGGGTGGATTGTGCGTTTGTGGGTGTTTATGTAAGTATAGGGGTGGATAGTGAGTCTACTGGTCTCTATTTTAGTCAATCGTGGGATATGGGAGTGTATTGGTCTCTATGTAATTATATGGGTCCAATGCTCGACTGACTCTAGGTCCTATGTTAGTGTACGATCTCTGCGTAAGTCTATGGGTCGACAGTAAGTCTATGGATCTCTATGCAAGTCTATGGTTCGACATGTTAGTATATGGGTCTCTATGCAAGTCTGTGGGTCCCGTGCTAGACTGACGAAAGCTCCAATGTTAGTCCATGGGTCTCTGCGTAAGTCTATAGGTCTCAGTCGTGTGGCGTCGTTGGCATGGCCTGGGTTCCAAGCAACGCAATGCCCCCCCCCCCCCCCCCCTCCTGTATACCCCTCCCCCACCCCTCTTAGCCCGGCGCTTGTTTGCCCCCTCCGGCACGTGGGGGGCCCCGGTGCGAGGGGTGGGGGGGTGGTGGGGGGCCAACCCCCTTCCGTCTCACCCAGGACGTCGCCACCATCGCCAGGAGCTGCTCGTCCACAGACCGGTTGCCCGCGGCGGTCACCTCGGCCCGGAATCGAACTCGGAAGTTGTCAACGACGTCTCCTGCGTGAGCGGAGCACAGAGAGGGGGGGGGTGGGGGGGGGCGTCAGGGGGAGCCCTCGCACACCCTGCCACGTCTCACACACCGGGTCGGGCTGGACTCGGTGGTTCTTCACGAACTTTCAGAGGGACGGGGGGGGGGGGCACTTTCGCCGGGGAGACATCGCCAGCGTGAGCGAGGTTGCCGCCGCACGTCTGGCACCATTGTGGGGGTTTGCCAGCAGCACGACGACGATGATGATGATCATGGGGGTGGCTGCCGTCACTCTTCGTGTGTTGTCGGGTGGCCGCACTAAAGGCCACCAGGGGGCCTCCAGTGGCCCACGGGCCTCGCAATGGTTAGGATGTAGGTGTACTGGTAGTGTCAGGGTTAGGATGTAGGTGTACTGGTAGGGTCAGGGTTAGGATGTAGGTGTACTGGTAGGGTCAGGGTTAGGATGTAGGTGTTCTGGTAGTGTCAGGGTTAGGATGTAGGTGTACTGGTAGTGTGAGGGTTAGGATGTAGGTGTACTGGTAGGGGTCAGGGTTAGGATGTAGGTGTACTGGTAGTGTCAGGGTTAGGATGTAGGTGTACTGGTAGTGTCAGGGTTAGGATGTAGGTGTACTGGTAGTGTCAGGGTTAGGATGTAGGTGTACTGGTAGGGGTCAGGGTTAGGATGTAGGTGTACTGGTAGGGGTCAGGGTTAGGATGTAGGTGTACTGGTAGGGGTCAGTGTTAGGATGTAGGTGTACTGGTAGGGGTCAGTGTTAGGATGTAGGTGTACTGATAGGGGTCAGGGTTAGGATGTAGGTGTACTGGTAGTGTCAGGGTTAGGATGTAGGTTTACTGGTAGGGTCAGGGTTAGGATGTAGGTGTACTGGTAGGGGTCAGTGTTAGGATGTAGGTGTACTGGTAGGGTCAGGGTTAGGATGTAGGTGTACTGGTAGTGACAGGGTTAGGATGTAGGTGTACTGGTAGTGTCAGGGTTAGGATGTAGGTGTACTGGTAGTGTCAGGGTTAGAATGTAGGTGTACTGGTAGTGTCAGGGTTAGGATGTAGGTGTACTGGTAGGGTCAGGGTTAGGATGTAGGTGTACTGGTAGTGTCAGGATTAGGATGTAGGTGTACTGGTAGTGTCAGTGTTAGGATGTAGGTGTACTGGTAGGGTCAGGGTTAGGATGTAGGTGTACTGGTAGTGTCAGGGTTAGGATGTTGGTGTACTGGTAGTGTCAGTGTTAGGATGTAGGTGTACTGGTAGTGTCAGGGTTAGGATGTAGGTGTACTGGTAGTGTCAGGGTTAGGATGTAGGTGTACTGGTAGTGTCAGGGTTAGGATGTTGGTGTACTGGTAGTGTCAGTGTTAGGATGTAGGTGTACTGGTAGTGTCAGGGTTAGGATGTAGGTGTACTGGTAGTGTCAGGGTTAGGATGTAGGTGTACTGGTAGTGTCAGGGTTAGGATGTAGGTGTACTGGTAGGGTCAGGGTTAGGATGTAGGTGTACTGGTAGTGTCAGTGTTAGGATGTAGGTGTACTGGTAGGGTCAGGGTTAGGATGTAGGTGTACTGGTAGGGTCAGGGTTAGGATGTAGGTGTACTGGTAGTGTCAGGGTTAGGATGTAGGTGTTCTGGTTTTGTCAGTGTTAGGATTTAGGTGTACTGGTAGGGTCAGGGTTAGGATGTAGATGTACTGATAGGGGTCAGGGTTAGGATGTAGGTGTACTGGTAGTGTCAGGGTTAGAATGTAGGTGTACTGGTAGGGGTCAGGGTTAGGATTTAGGTGTACTGTTAGGGGTCAGGGTTAAAGGTTAGGCGAGTGTATGGTGGGAACGGTAAAGGGTTAGGGCTGAGGGTTAGGGTTCGCAGGAGCCTGAGGCAGGGCAAGGCTCGGGTTAGGCTGTAGGGTTTGCAGACACAGACAGTGTTAGGGCTAGGGTTTACGTTTCTGGTGAAGTGCACGGGGATGCTTCGAAGCGCAAATGAAATAACGTTCGTCAACAGCACCCAAAAGACGTATCGCTTCCTCCGTCGTTTGCCAGCAGTGCTGCCGACCGGACTCATTGTCTGTCTGTTTAATTATTATCCAGCCACACGATTGACAGTTTATTCATTCACGGCAGGGACGTGCCCGCGCGCGCACCTGCGTGTTTGTGTATCTGTGTGTGTGTCTGTGTGTGCGTGTCTGTGAATGTGTCTGTGTGTGGCTGTGTGTGTCTGTGTGTCTGTCTGTGTGTGTGCGTGTCGGTGTGTGTCTGTGTGTGTATCTGCTGCCTTGGCTGGGCCATGTAGCCTGCTTGCCCAATCACCGCATGCCCAAGCAGCTTTTGTTTGGCCGAATCGAGGGGGCTAAACGGAGTAATGTTATACAGGAGGACGTGGAGCTGAGTGGACTTGCCGATGACTGGTACCAGCGGTGTCAAGATCGGCTGTTAAGTGCAGGGCCTGAGCAGAGAGCGATACCACCTGAGGCAGACCGTCTCCCGTCGTACCGATGCATTTATTCGGTTGAACAATGGTTATCGTTGATCATTAATTAATTGGTTATCGCAGAATTAACTGCTGTTGGCCACATAGAGACGTTGGAACCAGCCGAAGCGATGCCATGTCCGGTGGTCACCGACAAAGTGAGATGATAACCTGGTCTGGGTTGATGGACCCTCTGGCCATGAGCCATCCTGGGCTGACGCCAATAACGCTGATGACGGAAACCTTGAAGCGTTTAGGAGCGCGTGAACAAGCAGGCCTAGTGCAGAGACATACCAGTAGTATAATATAATTATATTAATTATATTTAATATTATTAATATAATTATAGGGACAGTGGAACGCTACTTATCCGGAGCACAGTTACCTGTGACCCCTATTATCTGCGGCACCATAATCTAAATAACCACTCGGAAGCATTCGCTATAATACTATATCATTGTAACATAATAGACAAATATTGCTTTTAAATCTACAGCGGGCACGGCGCCAGACATGCAAATTACGTCTCGAAACGCCGCTGCAGAATTTGTACCGCGCACGGAGGCGCGGGAAGCCACAGGCAAAGGCAGACACAACCGGTGCCAACAATTGTCCCCCCAAAAAAGCAACAATTTGCCGAAGCTTTACGGTCCTATAGTTGGAGTGTTTAAACCAACTACATCCGATTAGCACGGTTGGCTACGTGCGGTGCGAAAGACGTTCAACAAAAAAAAAAACACAAAGATTCCCTGTATAGCCTTAACAAACTGCTGGGGCAAGTGCTGTTAGCGAGTAGCATCTATGAAGGCCGGAACGGCACACAAGGGGGTGGGGGTGGCCAGCACCAAAGACAAATGTCCCCCATGTTCCCTTAACATACTGTCGGGGGCAAGTGCTGTTATCAGTTGTGTCCATACACACAACTCGTAGGACACCCACAGTTTCCAAAGTGGAATTTTGACCGACCAGGGCGGCCCCGTCTCATTCTTCGCACCACCACAGGGCCCATGCCAACCACGTCGATGCCACTGGGCATCGACTCACAAATGCAGTTCGCCTGGCTCATTTAAAGTCACCCTGGGCCCCAGGCAGGCTTTGTGAATAATTTCGTTGCTCAGTAGATACGAAATGCACGCGCGCGCGTGTGTGCGTGTGTGTGTGTACGTGTGTGCGTGTACGTGTGTGTGTGTGTACGTGTGTGTGTGTGTACGTGTGTGTGTGTGTACGTGTGTGTGTGTACGTGTGTGTGTGTACGTGTATGTGTGTGTGGCAACTGTGGGAAGCGGTGGTATAGAGGATAGCCACGCTGCGCTACGAACCCAACGACTCGGGGTTCAATTCCCGGTTCTGGTCCTCCCCTAGGTGGACTCAGCCTTAATTGAGTGCCTAGTGCAGTGTGTGAACATCGCCACTGGTGAGACAAAGGCGGCTGGGCGTGGTGTTGTCCACCCACCCCCTCGTGTGCCGTGTCGCCCTTCATAGGCGCTCGCTAACAGCACTTGCCCCTACAGTCTGTTAAGGCTACACAGGGGGTCTTGGTGGAAATAGTGGGGGGGGGGGGGTCAGAGGGTTTATGCAAATTTTATGAAAATATTTCCTTCGTTGGGCAAATGTTCCAAAGAAAGGAGTGGGTACAGATGACACACAGCACAAACGAGGCAGATACTACCCTTGAGACAAACAGCACAAATGAGGCACAGACAGTGCACGCGAGACAAACCATATTCAGTCCTCGCTAATATCAACAATGAATGGGATCAATAAGCAAATGAATAATCGAAACGCCAATACACTCCGTGCTTTCGGGCAGCACAGGCACCTTTCCTTGCCCTGGTTGCCCTGCCAGGCTCATCGAGAGAGGTGAGGGCAGGGGTCCGGAGGCCGATAGACCTCCCTTAAACCCTCATTGGGTTTAACAAACTATCTCAGTGGCTCTTCACTCATGTTCAGGGGGGGGAGGGAGAGGAGGGGGTGGGGGCACTTTCGCGGATGAGACATCGTCCGTGTGAGTGAGGTTGCAGCCGCACATTTTAAACCAATGGGGATTTGACAGCAGCACGACAACGATGATGACGACGATGGCGACGGTGATGACGATGATGGGAGTGGTGTTGTCACTCGTAGTGTGCTGTCGGATGGCCGGACGTCAGGGGCCGCACTAAAGGCCACCAAGGGGTTGCCAGTGGCCTGCGGGCCTTGTACTGAACCATGAACTTTTTGTTCCCTCGACTCTGCAACTGAGCTGTTCCGAGCTGCCTTGCCGAGCCAGCCCGGCCCAGCTTAGAAGGCGCCAATTCGTTTTTGTTTTTCCACTGCGGGACTGGGAGCCGTGTCGCTCACGTCAAGCGCAGTGCGCGAGCCAAGTCGCTCGTTGATGCAACGTATGATAAAAAAAGAATAGTTCGAAACGTAGGCTTTCATGACCAATATCATCCATAATAAAGGGTTTTTTTTGTGTGGTTTAATCGTATGAAATATAAATGTGCCGTTCAGCCCGCCACCGCCCTACGCAGCCAATTAGTAAGCATTGTCACGTAAAGAAAACGTGCCAATTAGCAAACTA